CTACTCAGACTTGAAGAGAAAAGTTTACACCTTACGATGATGGATTTCAGAGGTGAATTACCTAGGGAGAAATACTGCAAGGAATATTGTCTTGGTATAAAAAGAAGACTTATTATGAACCTTATTAACTCTAGAGAAAAGGTTAAAAATCCATATTATAAATGCGGTTAAGTTTAAAAAATGTTGCAGTTATAAGGGTGCGTCCACATCTGGCGAATGTGCCGCGAGTTGCGCGCGTGCAGTCACGGTAATCGTTTGGTGCTAAACTCATAAAGTTCATATAAATAATAAAAAATGGACGCGCGCAGCGTACTGCTCGCGGGTGGCTCGTAAGCGGTAGCGAGCTGCGCATTCACGAGGCATTCGCAAGATGTGGACGCACCGCACCCTATGTCTCAGCATGTCCAGGGTAAGAAAATTATAAGCATTTTCGTTCGCAGTACCTAATCGCACGGGGAAATGTGCCTACCATGTATATCAAATCATGTATCCTAATTATTTTTTTACATTACAGTTATCAATTAATATCAAGAACTTCTTTAAAACGCTTGTATTTCCCAAATAATTAGCCGAAACCCAATAACACTACGCACGATGCAGCGGTAGACGTACAAACCAATATGGTTAAACCAATAATCAGACTAGAACTGTTTGCGTATAACTACATAATTAAAATATCATTAGGTTTTCCGATGGCCAAACAAAATTCCTTAAACATTGATCATTAGTTTATTATCTACATTTATTATGTTACATCATTTCCGTATCGTTTTGGTTTTCCAAACTTTATGCAAAGAAAAAATCTCAAAAAGTAGTTTTAAAAGATTATGACTTCCATCTAAAAGTTTGGCACGCCCGAATTGTGGGCAGAATAAGAGGGACTATAATTATAATGTGACCACTGTATACCTTGTTCGGGCAAATAAATGATTATTGATTTTTTGAACTAGGAACATGAGTTTTTTTCTTGTACAGGTTCCTCTTTTTTTTATACCACGGCGGTGGCAAGAAAAGCACACGGCCCACCTGGTGGTAAGCGGTTACCGTGGCCTATGAACGCTAGCAACACATGGGGCATTACATAAGCCTTGCCGACCCATTATAAACTTGTTTACTCCTTTCTTGAAGAACCCCATATTGTAACCTCTACTTTAGACGTGAGTTATTAGTGAGTTTTAAATTGTAAAGATAACTTTTGTTATCACCTATGTAGTGATAACAAATTTATTGCAAAGGTTAATGTAGACAATTTAAGCAAATTTAATTTAATTGATATACTGTTCTCAACTCAACGCATGCTGTGATGTCCTTCAAATGTTGTGTATTAGTAGTAAGTTTTTCTATTTTAAGTTAATGTTAAAATGTAACAACAACTGGATGTCCAAACAAAAATATAAATAAAAGACATAGGTAGGCGCCATTGTCAGCTACATCATCGCTCACCACCAGGCGAGATGGTGGCCAAACGTCAACCTATCAAGAATAAAAAATGTATGTTTAATATCTACATAACTTTCTTGACAGCCTTTAATAACCATATTTTAACAGAAACCTGAAACATGGGTATTAGGAACATAAACACACTATCCCTATTTTAAGTCATGTATAAAACTCACAAATCTAGAACTAGTCATGAATGCACAACTGCACAGATTCAAGAACACAATAATCCTTTAAAATTATGCCATCCGAGCCTCTTAATACAGATTTTGGAACGCATCCAGGGTATTTAGTGTCCAAATTAAATTGGCTACAAGCTCAGACTGCCTAGTTTTGTTTTACGTTGACGCTATCGACACGTTTATGACGTTCGACGCTCTGATTGGCGGCTCCCAGTTAACCAACCAATCAGAGAGCTAAACGTGGCAACGGAAAAATAACTCGAACTCAGTACCCAGATGTCCCCTAAAAGAGAACAAGCTGCGAAGTTCTGCCGCGTTTTAATGCCGTAAGACTTATCCCAGCTTTACTTACTTCACAGAGTTATAAATTACTGTACAGCTTCTCCAATTTATCTAAGTTAATGTCACGATATTAGTTTGAAGTCGCTTATATAACTTGAAACTGTTTTTGATTTCTTGAGCACTTGTCAAACGTACGAAGTTTTTAGTTAAGTTGTGCAGTGTGTATATTTTCGCGCCTTTTGAGATTAATTTATTTAAATGAAAAGATATAATAGTTTAATAATGTACAACGCCTTGGTGTAATGATTGTTATGTTATACTATTAAAATTTAAATAAATAAATAGTGTCAGCAATAGATCCAATTATTTAGTTTATAATCACATAAGAAAGTAAAGAAAAATGTTCCATTCTTAACTACATTTTTAACTTTGACACGTAATTATAATGACGTATAATTGTTTTTCGAATAATTCCTCTAACTACTTTCTTTGAACCTCAAGTTCAAAGATGAAGAAATATACCAGATTGAATCACAATAGTACAAGGGAATCTCCAGTGAAAAATATTACATTCTTAACTACTTTTTTAACTTTGACACGTAATTATAACGACGTAGGTATAATTGTTTTTCGAATAATTCCTCTAACTACTTTCTATGAACCTCAAGTTCAAAGATGAGGAAATATACCAGATTGGATCACAATAGTACAAGGGAATCTCCAGTGCATACTTAGTCACTGCATGTACCGCCATGTAATTGGAGTTTAACGAGCCCGATAAACGGCAGTTAATTGACTTGATACAGATTATTGTCAGTTGATGTCATTATAAACAATAGACTTAACTACACACATTTATAACTTTTTATCATTATTTTGTTATTTCCACGCCCTTGTTAACCGAGAATAGAAAATTACAGCCAAAACGTACCGCTAACACAAACCCTTTAAACATTTGTAATTAGATTTCTATCTCAGACAAAAGTATTTACGAAAACTAATATAATCCTTATTGCTAATTATTTCACAAAGGTTCTAGTGCTATAAGTACAATGAAATTAGCCCTAGAAATTCATTAAGGTCTAGATTACAATTTTCAATTCAAATATACGAAATTACGAGACTGTTTTGTTTGAGCCGTTCCCCGTCGATAGCAAATACTCAAACGTTTGATTCCGTATGTTAAAGAGCGTGTATTTCCCTGCTAATTGAGTTTCTGTCACACGGTACGGCACGGTGCGGCCCGTTGCGGCCCGGCACGGCCCGGTGTGCGTCGATTCCGTTTTCACTGGCAGACAGTAGTGACCAGTGCTGACCAATTACCACTGCTTTTCAATTCACTTTGCGAATTGCAGAAATTCCGTTTGAAATGCATCTGCTTTCGAACTTGGTTTTTTCAGAATAGGTAAATGAAAATTGAATTCTTTTTTACATTGTTAGGTGTTTGTTTTCTATTAACCTTTTTAGTATTCGCAGGCACGACTAGACGGTAAGCGCTTTGTAAGTCGGAAAACCGAAACTGCAAAGTAGACGGCATTATCGACGTTATTAGCCACCAACCACGTTTATAAAGTTGGCTGAAATCCTTAGCGTAAGCTTAAAAAGACTTTGACTTCTTTTCTAAGTTCATTGTTTTCTTTTTCAGTAATTTGTTTATAAAGTGTAAAAGAAGTACATAGCTGCCTATGAAAGGTAGCATCCATAACATTATCACGTCTTTTATCCCCGAAGGGGTAGGCAGAGGTGCACATTACTTGCACTTAATGCCACTGTACAATGTGACACCAACTTTACACTATTCATGTTATGAGTCCCATGTAATAGGTGGTGAGCCTTTTGCCATATACCGGGCACAATTCCAGACTCCGTGCTGCTACTGAGAATTTTTAAAAACCCAGTAATATTTTGCCCGACCGGGAAATCGAACCCGAGACCCCTTGTCCGACGAGTTACAGGGATTCCTTTCTACCTTTCCTTGACTGCCTCTTATATGGGATATATCCATGTAAAGTTACTATGAAACCGAATACACTAATGCAAATGAATCCTATTAAATTTATAAAAAGTAAATTTCCAGGTTCATAAAAATCTTTGTTCTGTGTCTCATATTTTATTAGTAAAATCCACATTCTCTAAGTCCTGTTCGTAAGTTTGAACAGATTCTTTATCAGCGGTTTACGTTCATCGACTCAAAATACGTTTGAGCTTAAAACGAGATGACATATCCAATCTTCATTCATGATATCAAACATTTTTCCTGTATGTAACTAGTTCGATATGTTTTCACCAACTTATCGGTTACGGGTCGAAGTAAGTGGACTAAAAACCAAAACTATCATTATAGAGAAACCTTGTACTTATTTCAATCCATTAAACCAATAAGAAGTTAAGGAAAAGGGTACAAAATAAAATTGTCCTCTTGATAACGAACTGTCCACGTGTACTTTTTTTTGCAAGTAACAATAAGTATTATTATAACTTTCGTGACACATACTAAATTAATTGTAACTATTAATTATAACTCAGACATACTAACGTAACTCTTTGACGAGGAACTGGACTAGTTTCAGGCCATGCTAGAGGCTCATATTTGCGGAATGCTGCTCATAAATATGAGCCTCTAACTTGGCTTGAAACTAGTAGAATTCCTCGTCAAACAATTACGTGAGGAACTAAGCCGAAAAGAAAATAAAAACCTTACCCCACACTAGGATTTCCTCCTGTCGTAGGTGCGTTTACAAACATACAACTTCACATACACATGACACCCAGACCCCGAACAATAATCTGTGGATCACTCAAAGAGTTCTGAGCGGGTATCGAACCCGCGAGACGTTGCGCGGCAGCCAGTTCCCGAGCCACCGCGCTAACAGTGCAGTCATTCTAAGAATGTAACAGTTTCGTAATCTAAGTAGTCTATAAAACTAATGGTCCAATAATGATGCGACTTGTAATTAGTAGTAAATACCTAGGCTTCCTTCAGATAATTAGCGAAGCATCGAAGACCAAGGCGTAGTACGTCTGTTGCAGTCAGTAGGGTGTGGTCATGATCAGTGTGTCCTAAGAGCCTAGTGTTGTTACTTTACTGTGGTTACAATGAAATTCTGTGTTGTTATTAGTTTTATAGTGATATTGTTCATATCGAGAGCCGTTTGTGAAGGTAACATTTCTTGAAGTGTTTCTATTTATCGATAGTGGAATTGATTGTTTTTTATTTGTTTTTAAATTCGTACTTGTATGATTTTCAGTCAGTTATTTAAAAACTCTTATTTAAAAATGTCAGAAGTGCCGTCATGAAGTTCGTCTTTGCAAGTTTACCTTTTAATCAAAATGCAACAATTTATGTTTTAGAATGCGAGGCGTGTTTAAAACTAGAACAATGCCCAGCTTTCGACGAATTAAGCAAAGGAGAACAGGAAGATTTGCAACTTAAATATCCATGCTCATCACCCGATGATTATGAATTGAGCAACCTCTTTGGATTCGCACCCATCTCCAGAGGAGAATATGTAAATATGCCATTAATAACTCATAATACTTCATCCCCATCCACAACAAACTATATACAAACATTCTATATCCCCATTTACCGTTAATCACCAAACATATCATTAAAAATACGTGAACTGTAAACGCAACAGGATAAAATGATCCCCATAAATAACTGTGTAATTATGAGTCCATCGATCTGCGAAACGTATTTACACGAAAATTTCATAATTAAAAAGTTTGATGACAGCTAGCAAACTATCGGAAAATAATTAAGTGGATATCTTCAGGCAAAAAATATTCCGTCAATTTCGTAATATTGCCGACAGACGCTCGCCCTGTGATTAAATATTTATCGTATGACGTAACACAACATACTTCAGTCTTATTTTTCCAAAAGGGAGAGGTCGAACTAAGTTTTTACCAATTTTTTGCTACACTTTCACTTCAAATTTCATTTTCCTCTCATAAGCTTTAATGCTGCATTTTAAATACAATGGCATCCCTTTATTCGATGGAACTCATCTCGTAAAACAATATTTTGCTCCTATTAATTCTGAAACTCATTCAGTGCACCCACGTGTAAATAAAATAAAGTAATTATTTTTACGTCAATATTTCAGGTATGCTGTTCCGACGTCCAAAGATCAGTGAGAAACAGACGCAACAATTACAATAATTTCGGCCGCCAAAATAATAATTATGATGACCGAAACCTTGGTTACAATAATTACCCTAATTCGCAAAACCAAAACGGTTACGGATACAGAAATAACCCAAGTGATAATAGCTGGGGATCGAATGAAGATAATGAGTACCGTAATCAGGGTAGCCCGGATTATGATGGGAGCGGGTACAACAATCAGGGACCTAGAAACTATTTTAATACGAATAACAGTCCGTATGTGACTGCGAGTCCATTCTTTCCTATTCGCGGACAAGGTCGTGGGGGTAATAGTCAACGGGGTCAATGTCCCGTAACAAGCTTACCCCCGAACCCTGATACAGGATGTTGCGGCCGCGAGGCGTCTGATAGCGACAGGATTATCGGTAAGTTACAGTGAAACAACCTGTACACTATATCCGCTTTTAACGTACAAAGTAGAGCAGTTTTTATTTGTAAAACGCTTGTCTGATCAGGTGCAGCGTGGTTCGGAATTTTAATTAAAAGTTTTACGGATGTTTAAAAACAATATTTTGTTTTTATAATTTTTGTTTTGCATATTTTTATTGTTTTACTGCAGATTAAGGGACGTTACGAACCGTGATTGGTAAAGAATGCATTTTAGAAAATTTTTGATCAATAAATACATAAATCTTATTAGTCTTTTAAAGAAATCTGTACCCTTGATTTGTAGTTTTCTATATTCTTATATTATATATCTACTTTTATATTTCTTATATTATGCAATAAACAATTAAAAAATAACCTGCACACTTTTACTAAGTAATACAACAATATCTTCCCACTGTTGCTTTCTTTGCACACTTTTCTATCTATTTGCACAACTTTTATTTTCTTTGCACAGACAGGCCTAAACCACCATCCTATTATGACGAGGGACCTAGGAATAATGGTAATAACTATTTCGGCAACTCTGCTTGGCCCTATAACACACCTCAGGGAAGATTCATAAGGGCAACTAAGGACGTCCCTGAAGTGACCATCGGCAATCGTATCGCAGGTAATATATTAAACAATATTTGATTCATCTGATCCTAAAGAAACCTCGAATCAGAAAGTAAAGGTGTTTTTAATATTATGCCAAATTATTATCACACTTATAATATTACAAATGTGAAAGTTTCTTTGTTTGGATGCTTGAACGTCTGAATGTTTGTACTTTTGGATGTTTGAATGTTTTTCCGTCAATCACGCTTAAACCACTAAACGGATTTTGATGAAATTTGGTATAGGTACAGGCAGGGTTTAGGTTGACATAGGTGACAGGATACTTTTTATCCCGATTAAATGCTGCCATTGGATAGAACAAGAATCATATTCTAGCAACTAGCAACAGCTAGATATTACTAATTCTGCCAATCACTGAGCACGCTTACACATCTCTACTACAATATCTATATTGCCTTGTCTGGGAAATGAATGGAAAATGTACCTATGTATCCAATTAACTCGTCGAGTACCGGTTTTATAGACACAATTAAAGAACAATAGGTCGCGGTCACCGGTGACCGCTTGGTGTTTGACAGTTTAAGCAACAAAATTTACTGGTCGGTACCTAATTGGTATTATTTAGGTTAGGTGCATGTGTAGCTAAACAACAAATATTCTATCCACTAGTATTGTTTTTATAATAACTATTGTGAGGCATACTAAATTAACTACAAAATCGCGGGTACTCATTTGAATATACTGAAAAAAGCTCTACTAATTTCGAGCCACAGAGGGGTTCTTTCTCATGAGCAGCGTGCGCAGTCGCGGCGATGTTGCGCAGCCTACTGCTCAGTAGGCGGCGCTACAACTTTTCTCAGTAATATTCAAGTGAGTAACCCGCTATTTTTAGTTAATTTACACTAGTATTGACTTCTTCATACAAATAACTAAACACGTATTTTGTGCTGCAATATAATTAACAATATCACGTAATAGACATAATAATTAAGTAGATACCTTTTATTTACCATAGCATTTGGAAGTCTCGCAATTTGCGATTTAAATTTAACAACAATGCTTAACTAAATAGGTATACTGATATTTCGTCTGAACTCATTTATTAAGTAGAACAATTAATTAGACCTAATTACAATTTTAACGAAAATCAAGTTTTAACGTCAATTGCAATTTAATGTGTGCAATCTATTTTATTCATACTTTAATTAAATACTTCTTAAGTAATAATATATTGCCTGTGTCTATTTTCTGTGTGTGTGTGTGTGTTGATTTTTTTTGTATTTATTTGCTGTACCTATTGCTTTACCTGTTAAGTATGTCTTTAATAAAATGATTATTATAATAATTGGGTACTTGCCAACTAGTCAAATTTAATACTTTTATCGAACTGTCAAAAACAATAGTTATCTATGAATTTTGTACAAGATTGTGTATTGTGACGTCACGATTTTTTTGCGTCAAACAGCATATTTATTTCTTAAGGATTTGCTGGAACAAACAACTAAAATTAAGTTGGTGATAAAATCAATTAATAAAACTGTGATATTTTTTTAATATTTCATTGTATTGAATAGTCGAAATAATTTATGTTTGAATAAGGAAAGTAGATACCCTATTATGCCTGAAATAAAGATACATAATTATGAATCGCAAATATTTCACCTGTTACTTGATTAGTACCCAAATCTCAATTTAGTGAATATCAAAGTGGCTAATTCAATAAAATCTTAAGAGTCTTCTAAAATATCTTTGCAGGTGGCCGGGAAACCGAACTGGAGCAGTTCCCCTGGACTGTTCTCCTGGAAGTAACCTTTGACAATGGAGAAAAGAGACAGGGATACAACTGCGGAGGATCACTCATCAGCTCGAAATACGTCTTGACTGCTGGTCACTGCGTTTTTGATCAGGGAAGCAAGATTGTAGAGTGAGTTCTCTTTTTAATATACCTATGTGCTGTTTTTAAAACGACAGTTAGTGATATATATATATCTTTAATTTCACTGGTGAATAATGCCATCTTAAGATTATGCTGCTAGTCATAAGAAGCATCTAGGCTATTCTGTAAATTTCAATTCGATCGATCTTTTATCGATGTAATGAATGTGAGAATAATCTCGACCAATGACGGGCGAGAATGCGATCGAGCTCACTTTGAAAGTTTCGAATTGCCATTTACAACATAGTCTGACAGGTCTCAATCTTCAGACTACTCTGCCTAAAAGTTTCCATATTGTGTGTGGCACAACTAAAATAAACTGTAATCAGTTCAACTTATGATTTAAAATTGCACAGACACTTATAATTTTTAACTATTCTTTAAATTTCAGTGTCGACATATACCTAGCAGAATATGATAAACGTACGTTCCCAAAGGACTGTAAGAATGTGCTGGGTGAAGGACAGAAGTGTGTAGAGAACATCGTGATGAAAGCAGAGGATGTTGTTCTGCATCCGCAGTATGATGACTCACAGCTTACCAATGATATCGCTTTGATAAGGATACAAGGGAACGCACCATACACGGGTAAGATAGTCTATATAAAATTTGAGAACGGCTGAAGCTATTAAGGTCGCAGGGAGCTGCTGGATGCAGGTGGCTTCCAACTGGCCTATCTGGAAGTCATTGGGGGAAGCCTGTGTTCAGCAATGAATGGAATTCCTTGCCAGACGCTGTGTTTCCCGTCAAATATGACTTGGGTGTCTTCAAGTCCCGAGTGAACAGGTTGCTCATAGGTAGGCGTGCTCCATCGTCGGCCACATCATCGCTTACCATCAGGCGAGATGATGGTCAAACGTCGCCCTATAAAGTATAAAAAAAAGCAGTGGACGAGTATTTTCCATATAACTACTTCATACGTTTTACGAAAAGATTAGTAGTGACGTGACACGTTACCTATTCGCATCCACTTTGCATTAGATATACCTACCTAAAAAAATCGCAAAGAAACTCAGCCAGAAATTGAACCGTTGCTCAGCAGTCATTTGTTTCCATTTTAGACTCTTGTACGAATTTTTGGTCAGAAAGATGTTGCACTTCTAAAGGTGCTCCCTCTCTGGGAGCATTCACGTGTAATGTAACATTATAGATTCGACTTTGAGCATTACATTACAATAATACCTCCCTGACTAACGAGCATTTGCTTGTAATGTAACTTAGAGATTCGGCGTTGAGCATTTCATAGCAACATGTCAGACATTGATGTTACAAGTTGTATTAAGATATTACACATTGTATCATTACAAGGTGCGCATTGTAATGCTCGGTTCTCCTCTTTCACTGATGTATTGCTCAGACCTGTAACGTCACATTACACGCGAATGCTCCCGGTGAAGAAGCACCTTACAACGTTGTGTGAATCAGTTAATTTATTACATTTATAAATGGTGAATGTCGGTCTTCAATGCGCGATAAGAACATATTATTCCTGTGTATCATACGTTACTGTACTAGATAAATGAAACATCCAAGGTTCAACTCGTGTGAGAATGTTTTAAACAATTTTATTAGTTAAGTTTAGAACTATGTATCTTCTAAATGTATGTGTAGTATGAATCAATAGTGGCTTACCTGAAGTTTAAATGGCAACCTAGCGACCGAATTTAATCCAAAACTTTCTAAAGATAACCAGAATAAAATTTTTCCTTAAGAATTCCTCAACCTAGATAATTCCTTACTTATTATTCTAAACCAGATCGGGTTAAACAATATTGTTAATAAATGTAACAACTAATACAAAACAATTTGGATTATGAACCGACTGAATAACTTTGTTACTTGCTCGTCTTCAAAACATCTTCTAAACTTGTTGATAAACAAACCAAAAGTTTTACAGTGTTAGCTAAAAACAATTTCCACAAATAATTTTCAATATTGTTCTACTGTCGTAATATATAACAAAAAATAGCATCTATTTTGACTATTCGAATCCTGTTACTTTTGCATTTCCTCTGATATTACGTTTCCTTTCATTTCAGACTACATTCGACCCATCTGCCTGCCATCCATTGACATCGACAGCCCGGACTTCTCAAACCTTCGTCTGGCCGTCGCCGGGTGGGGTCGGAACGGCCGCTTCCGATCGAACATCAAACAATCAACAATCGTCAATCTAGTACCTCAGGAAAAATGCATAAAATTCTACCCAAACCTGTCAAGACGACAAATGTGTGCGGCAGGTTACACTGGCGAGGACACGTGCAAAGGTGACTCTGGCGGTCCACTTATGACGGTGTATGGCGGGAAGTACCAAGTGGTGGGTGTAGTAAGTGGGAAACGGGCGGACTCGCCCTGTGGGACCTCCGTGCCGTCGCTCTACACTAACGTCTACCACTACAGAGACTGGATACAGAGTAATATGAAGAATTAATTATTTCACTCGTGTGCTAGTACTCAAAGAAGTCTCGTGTGAATCATGAAGTTGTATAGTTATAAGTTTTAGTCTAAGGAAATAAAATGTAAGTCCTCTTCCACCAGAAAATAAACGAAATCAAAGTAAATAATTCAATTCATTTCCGTACAATAAATTTAGCAACAGCTCTCCTCGAGTACCAGTTCGCCAGGCAACGTTAGGTGTGTTAAATGTAGCATATTATTGCGGAATAATAGCCGGCTAGGAAAGGTCTCAGTTTCCCTAGAACTAGGTTTTGCATGCTACCGAGCAACAAATAAACTTTTATGAACTGAAAAATGTAGCGGTAAAATTCGAGGTGGCGATATTTTGTAGCTGTTTTCGTCGTGGCGTTGGCAGGTTCGCTTTGTGGCGCGTAAATTGGCAGCGTATTCAGCTATTGCAAAATGTGCATTCAAGTGAAGGATTAATTTTATTGAAAACATTATAATGCATGTAGATAGCAATATTAAACCGTTAGTCGGTTTTCCAACAATTCTTGCGGAAACCTAATTTGTCTATTTGAAACTGCAATCTAGAAATCTGGACTCGAACTTCAAACACACTGCAAAACAGGCTCACAACTACTTATAAGGTACGAAAGATATTACCTACAGACAAGCTACTCAAACTAACATCTCTTTGGTTGATAAACAACCGGTAAGTAATATAAAATTTCAAAGAGAAGAAAACCTTTCCCAATATCGGCATAAAAGTCTTTAAATTATGTAAGGATCCTGTTCATAGTTCCCCTTCTCTAAGGAGAGCATTTGAGCGGTATTTACTAACGTGCGGTATACCTTTTCGTTTTCTAACATAATCTTTACACTAAATGTAAGTAAATAAACCATTTTATAATGGTCCCAGTTTGTATGATCTTTCCGCACGTTCAGAGGTAGGTTTATACCGGTTTGCTTAGCTCGATGTTTAGCTGTGAATGCATAGACTTTATAAAGCTCCGCTCTATTACAAGCCCCGTCATGTGTTCCCTTAATGAGTGGGGTAGTGTTGCTAAAGGAATAATGATAAATTATGAGATTTTGCACTAACCAACTCAAGTGATTGCGTCCAATGTTGAGCGACCACGTGTAAAATAAAAATCTGATGTAAAGATGTTTCGTAGCATATTATCCTCTCCTGATATTTGCAATGTATTGACACCGGTACTCGGTACAGTTACTGCAACTTTGAAATCACGAACCGGGCAACAAAACGGGGCCTCTCAAGTTAGAACTGTCGCCATTTTACACACCGTAGCAATCGAGTGTTCTAATATTGAATTCTTTAATATCTTATAAACCTGAGAAAAATGCCAATATTAGATACTCGAGCACATTACCGCTTACTGAAGGCACAGAGAGTCTAGTTTGCTGCCAAACGTATATTCGTATTACCTTCTTTCCAAAATTACCTAATTCCATTAACACTGAATGTTGCGTAAATTGCTTCTTAATGTTTCTGAAGTGTAACATGAAAATACTTACAGCTTAATTATTATCCAAGTGTATGTTTAGGCGGAGTGGCGGCAAGCCGTGCCTTTGACGAATGATGATGGATTGTGAGAACCTCGCGAGATGGGGTAGCGACAAAAAGCTATATACATTAACAGTTTTGTTGCTTAGCTTCATAATAATATAATCGTTACACTTACTTGCATGTTTTATGCGAGGTCACAAAATGAGGTCAAAAGATAGGTACATAATTGAACTAAACCCAAGTCAATAGTTAATGCATTTGGCTTTGCAAATAGTAGGTATAACTGGCTAAATTAATAACACGCTTAATTGATACTGTTCGTCTTGTGTGTTGACACATCACACACAGCTCCTGGCTCGCGTACGAGGCTCTTAAAACCACGCTCCTCGTTCCCCATGCTATTAAACGCTGTGGAACACAATCCGGGAGAAGAACACTCAAATGAGCAAACACTATTATCAGGACTGTGCCGAGGGCGTACAGATTTCCCCGGAGTGCCCTTCTCCTTAAAAGTGCCGGTCGGATGACCGCTATTCACTGCACAGCCTCGGACCGACTTCTTTTTACTTAAAAAGTGAGATGAATGAAATTTTAAAAGTGAGCGCGATCGATTTTTGCTTGATTTTTCACGCCAAAGAGATTTTGGCTAACGAGAAAACTTTCAACAAAGAGCTGTTGTAGTTTGAGAACTGAAGAGAATAACTAAGTATTGGACTACAGTATAGACACTATCGAAGTCCTTTAATCATTTCCTGAGATCCCAAAATAGCGTTGTCGATCACAAAATAATGTACAATGTCGCCGCCAGTCGTTTTGTAGGGCAAAACATATACCCAAATCGGATGGTTTTTGACAGCCTAAAACGGTTTCACAAAAAAGGGAGCACAATTTATCAGCGATTTCGTCTCTGATCCCTGAATCCCAATATCGTGGTACATCCACAATCTATGTCGGTCCTCCCGTCGGGTGGCAAATTTATGTAAAATCAATGCAACAAATAAAGAACGGTGCGACGGTAAATATCCGCGCCACGTCACAATTAGTGCGTGTCCCGCTGGGCCGGACACATTTTGTTATTTGCCAATCTATTCACGGCCCTGGTACGCCGACCAAAAACGATTCATACAATTTTACACCCTATTTTTATTAACTTCCATCCGGACTTCAAAGGCAGATTCAAACTATTCATTTTAACGAAATAGTGTATTACTTTATTTATTGGGCAATACCGTACGAGTATTATAATTGAAAACTGTTTTCATGTTATTGCATTTTGTTATTACAAAAATATGAATTGAATCAATCAATTATGAATAATTGGATGAACGAGCACACAAACAGATAAATACCAATACAATTAAAATGTTTGAATAACATTTAAATGTTGGATTAAGGTTAAAATGTGCGGTTAAAAAGGTTTAATATTATTTGTGGTGTATTTGGCGAAACACTTTTAGGCCGACAGATCCGATCCTGAATTAAGTCAAGCAGAAATACAAGATTGTTTCCGTTCAATAGGTCTAATCTCTCAGATGGGTATTCGTGCTGAAACGATCCTCTTTTATTGGCGTCTCTTTGTCGAAGTATTCGACATTTTCATCGGTTACTATACGAATTTTAGTTTAGTTCGAAACATCTCGGGGCTCCTAAATTTGATTTAGAACTAAAGGTTTCGAAATTCAACACCGTATTTATATATTGAAATTGAAACACTGGATACACTTAACTAAATTATTGAGCCTGGCTTAGGTATTTGCTCTTTACTTTCTGAATCGCAAGATGTTCTCGTAAATGGTTAGTACCTAGTTTCTTACGATTGCCCATCGATTACTTACAGGATTAGAAGTACGGAATGTAGTAACGTTCTCTTATAGAGTAGCTAACAGAAATTTCTCTTAATGCCTTAAGACCTCTTGCACTATCGCGACCTATAAGTCCAATACATTTATTGCTCGAGTTTTCAACCGATATTGAATTCATCTTCAAGATAGTTGAAGTAGAAACTTGAGCTACACTGTACCTAAACAATATTGGAAAAACATTTCACTTCTAGGTACGAAGATTTCAAGAACAATTTACTCACATCGAACTACAATAAAACGGCTTATCGCTTGATCACACTGATAATAATAAACAAGATCACCATACATTTTTAACTTGTTGAATACCGTCATTATAGACACAATTAAAGAACAATAGGTTGCGGTCACCGGTGTCCTCACGGTGTTTGACAGTTTAAATCTTAGCCTACCTACAAATACTCACTTAATCTAAACAATATTATTTATGTATGCAGCGTTACCCTCATAACTGCGACAAAAAATTAGCTTGCTACCGCGCGCTCCTGACTATTATAAATATTCGCTGTATATTTATCAACTGTTTACAATATTGGACCGTACGAAGAGAAAAAACATGATATTCATTGTAAATATGCAATGAAACCCGAAACTCGTTTCATATGCAACGAGATGGTCGAAGATCGCGTTCAGGGACATCAGTACCTTCCTTACTTGATCAAGTCTGGACCAGTGTTGTCTAAGAACAGTGGTATTAAACAAAATTGGCCTTAAATTATGTCCATTATGAGGGTTGTGGCTATTACCGGTTGTGACAGTGGTCTAGGATGGGCTATAGCCGCTAGGACAGCCCGTGAAGGAATCGTTACTGTGGCAGGCATGTATAATGGAGTTGATACCAGGGCAGCAGAGAGTTTGAAGAAGTTAAGTGCACATCCTTACTCCTTGGATGTGACGAACCCAGATAGTATTGCTGGGTTTCATGATTACGTCAAAAGCTTGCTGAATGACAACCCTAACTATAGTAAGTAATTTTTTCCTTTTTTTAGCTTTGTAATAATTGTAAGTGGCTGTTTTCTGTGTACCTATTACTTAACTTATAGGTCGCCAAAATTGTCAATAATGTTGTTTGTATTTTTTAATATTTCATTATTATTGTCCTGTAATAAAACAAAAACTTAAAAGACAAACATACTTATAATACAAACAGAACAAAATAATTAAACTGTGCCCTACCAGACTCCTAATCTGTTAAACTGATTTTTATATTTGATTTATTTATTTACGGATATAATCAGTTAATACATAATATATACAAACCCTTTACAACAATATACAATTAAAAAGGGAGCTAAAGATATAAAATAACTCAATTAAACTACAGATAGGTGCCTAGTCGTTTTAATTTTGTTCAAAATTAATATTCCATTAGCGTACCACTGAAGTTGGACCGGAATGGGATTACACTGGAATTGAATATTGGACTATCCGAAACTATTTTGTTACGGGTGTCGTTCTAGCGGTTCTGGACACTTTTAACTTACACGAGATTTAATTAAAAATTTAAAACTTTGCCCATTTGATTATACCTCGTTGTAGTAGTGGTTGAAAGTTCTCCAGCCAAGCTTATGGCAGCCAGGTCAATTTCTAACCTGAACGATATTACTAGGACTTGGAACTAAAAAATATTCTTTCACTTATTGTTACAACAGAAGCGTCATCTATATTATCTTAATAATAATTTCCAAAACGAATGAATTTCTGTAATATAACAATGAATCGCAAATTTCGATAACTGCCGAACCTTATACCGATTTTGCTAATTATTCTGTTGGATGTGTTATTGTTAGGGCGAAATAAAGGTCACGAAGTCCGCTAGTGATACAATAATATTGTTTCAGAACTCCATGCAATCGTAAACAACGCTGGTGTGATGACAATAGGTGATTATGAATGGCAAACAGCCTCCATGATTGAAAACTCAATAAATGTAAACCTCCTCGGTACCATGAAGGTCACTTCTGCCTTCCTTCCAGATTTAAGGCAGAGTGCTTTAGAGGTAAGAGCAAAGAAACTAGTCTTTTCAAAATATCTACTTATTTGGTGTAGGTACTATTGAGCAAAAAGACATGAATTCGATCCAGATTAATAAATCGAGCTATACCTAACCAAGACAGTCTTGTTATTTTCAAAAAACAATAAGTGAACATCTAGTACCTACAGGGTTTCCCAAACGAAGGGTCGCAATCCATTGGTGGGTCGAAAACGAATTTTCAATGGGCTTTGTCCATGGAAAGACACAACAACCAACCGATCTGTATTTTGCTTTTCGTAATGATAACGGTCTAATTCTCATAAGGTGAGTCCTGAGTTTGGGAACTTGATTTAGATAGATCGTAGTTCAGACAACTTTGGGAACTACTGATTTAGTTTGTACCTAAGTATTACAGATATTGTTCAGTAGATACCTCAGTATACCAGTTTTGGACCTAGGAGACAGAGAGGATTTATAAGTAAGCCGTTCGTTAAATTTCAATTAATCAATTAATGCCAGTTTACGATTAGGATTTGTGAAGTTCTAAAACCTCTCTTATCCAAAATTGTCCTAGCAACAAATCAACATTCATATTTATATATACAGCTTCCAGGAACTAGGCAGATATTGTAATAATAACGACAGAAAATCTGATACCGCCCCAAATAACCGTGTGATTTCAACGCAAACAAATGAAATAAGATTCTTCCTCAAAATGAAATTGACTTCGTAAACATTATTTTATGTAAACACGTAGGTATTATTTTGTGTGGACCGAAATGCTGTGAACATCGTAAGCCCTTAAAATAATATCAGCTTATAGGGGAAATTACTTTTTTTCTCAATGTTTAATTGAAAATGTAAGCCAGTATTTGTTAATATCACATTTCGCGTTATTGAAAATATGAAATTGATTTTCTGCGTCTATTGTTCGTATTTATTTTTATCTGTGGTCGATAGGAAAATGAAGCAAAGGTATTGAAGTCTTGAGTTCGTATCAGATCACTAAAAACTTTGTTTCTTCAATAAATTGAATTAACCTAATTACAATAAATTACTTACAGAAAATCTGGCTTGTGTAAATTCTCAGTCAGCTTCTTAACTATAGGTACAGTATACTTACATAATAGGTTTCCATCATTTTGTCCACACCATTATTCATCATGCAATACTTTTCTATAACATAATTATCATTTTTCTTTCCCATTTCAGAACACGAGTTCATCAAAACCTCGTATCATTAACATCGCCAGTCACTGTGGCTTGCGTCCGTTGCCTGGTTTCGCATCGTACAGTGCCAGCAAGGCAGGTGTGATAGCCTTAACTAAAGCTTTGAGGCTGGAACATCGCAGACATGGATTGAGTGCTGTCGCTTTTATACCTGGTAAGTTCTAGAATTGATAGTTTCGAAGGTGTTTGATTACGCCCTTTATTAGGGGATTGAACCCTTGAAACGATGACGCAATTAAACAGTTTCTTGTGGTACACAACGCTAAGAGACCCCGGGGTTTAGAAAAAAAATGTGAGGGTTAGGTACTTTTCATAAAGTCTCGAAGGAAATAAAACTCTTTTTATTTCCGCATAAAATCCTCTTTCTACTTTTATTCCAACTTACTCCAGCACAATAGGTACCGACGTCTTCTTTTTATCTTTTCTTTGGTCGCCGTCTTCTTTTTCTTTCTTAAAGCACGTTATATTGTTTTGAAAACTATTCGTTCCTGTCATATCATAGATTTTAAATATATATCTGTTGGTCATAGGCCTTTCGTATGCAAGAACATGACTCGCGCTTGACCGGTTTTTGTGAATCGAGGACGAACAATGATCACAGCTGTGCACTCCCTCCCATGCAAAATGGTTGAATTTGCTATACCTATGACATTTAGCTGAAAATTCAGCAGGGATTAAAAATCAACGTGATAAAGTTGTTTAGTCTTTTCTGGAGCTATTTTATAGTCTGCCGAGATTACGAGTTCCCTGTATAGGCCTAACCAGCTTAACCTAGCGGCTTCCTGCCACCTTTAGGTATCTGGTCGTCTGTTCAGAATATTTATACCTGCCAAATGTACCTAAATTATTTTTAAATGTTTTCAGGTGGCTTCGTCAGTTCCAGTAACATAATAGCAAACCAAGGACAACAAGGACAAAACATGCTCGAACATTTGAATGAGGAACAGAAATCTTTTTACGGGCAAAGAATAACAACACTCTCAAATTATCTTCAGTTGGCGACGGCTCATGATCCAAGATATGATTCTATGAAAGACGAGAATATTATTGAAACATACGTCAAAGCTTTGACTGACGATGATCCTAAACAAATGTATAAAGTTGAATCATGGAGATACTTTTTTTACTACAATCTTTTCAAGTTGCCTCTGCCAGAAGCCGTTATAGCCTGGCTTGTTAAAAAGTTTTTGTGTTTTCCCGAATAATTTTTAAAAATAGAATTTCATAAATTTCTATGTACCTATTGTGTTAAACTGTTATTTAGATTAATGCACATTGTAGGTACATGTACAAGCAATACAGGTAGATTAACTTCAGGATCTGCTATTGTTTATTTGTAAGTGCAATTCTTTTTAACTCGTTGAGTACCGTCATTATAGACACAATTAAAGAACAATAGGTTGCGGTCACCGGTGACCGCTTGGTGTTTGAGAGTTTAATGGCTATTGGTTTTTTAATGATTTCATGGATCAAAATGATTTTCTATTTGTTACGTATAAAAGTTCCTATTAATTGACAATGTAAGATTAAGCAATGATTTTTATTGTAATGATTGAATTTACCTTTGTATTTTACTAAAATAAAATTTAATTAATTTCTATGCAGCACTTATTTATACCGAATTGTTCTTTGGTCTATCACTTAATTAGGTATAGTTAAGCTACTAATTGCATAGTTACAGCATCAGCAGTCGCAAGTTCGATTCTCGCACGGAATGAATCATGTGCTTGTTACTTGTAAGCATGATACATGCAACAAGAGAAAATAATCTGAGATGTTGTTTAAAATATAATTTGTAGTTCTTTTACTAACAATAATTAAAAATGGAATAATAAAATACCAAACTGTGTTTACACTAGATTTTGATTGTGTAGTCTACGCTGAAAACTAAACGTTTGACAGTAATAAAACCAACCGTTGACTGACAGATTGATCATTTTTTTACTTTTGACAGATTTTGCCAATAGTACGGGAAGGATTATCACTTTTTCTTCTTAAACATCAAATAAACAGTGAAAAAGTTCATTTATTGTGTATTCTTAAAAGGATTAATTGAAACAGAAGACATCTTCGTATAATTCAACCACATTCCTGTAAGATGGAGGTGGTGTTCGGTCCGAATTCGGTTGACGAACCGGTAGGTACACCTTTGTTATTACAACTCGAAATGCATTGATTTGAACTTTAGCTGATATTATTAGTTATTGTAATGATATTTATGCAAGAAATTACCTAATCTAGCTCACTTAAAGGCTCGCAACATTTCTCCTTGTAGGTTATATGTAGGTTATTTTTGTTGTGATCAAATTGTTATAGTAACTCAGAATTACTTATTATTACTTAGATATTATTTAAAAAAACTTGTAGGAAATATATTTACCTTTCAAAGTTACTGGTTTTGTTTTCAATTATTTAATATCATGGACTATCTATATCTATAAATAATTGCACAATCTATTGTTATAGCTGTCAAGTTTTTGCATGTCCTTTGTAATCGCATAACGACGTGAAATTAATCATGTAATGTTGATTTTTGGAGATGAAGTAAAGGATTTGTAGACCAGTCGTTGTAAAGATGTAACTTACCAGTTTTAAAAACTTCAATACACTTCTACAAACAGTAATAAACACATAAGACAGAACATACAATTATTTGCTTGCCACTCCACAGTTATTTTCTTGTTAGAATTGTTCTCAAATAATCTCCTTTTTTATTTTATACATTTTGGGTGGATCGAACATGTATAGAAAGACAATGTGTTAACAGAGACATCTAGTGTCAAGGACTCTAGACCAGCTCCCTGAGCACTGGGTTAATGCATAGATAGAGCCTACCGCTAATATTTTTGTTTTCAATTAAACATATCTAGAAACTTAAAATATACCTTTATGGAAACTTATAACATTGTCTCTTATTTTCCAGAACCTGCAATATAAACTACAACGTAAAATCAAAGTGTTTAATACTACTGATCCACTACCAAACCGAGGGTACAACTTAGTTGCTTGTGCCAGCAAATATGGTATTGTTTTTGTAGCTTCACCTGATGGGCATCTGACAGGTAAATTATTGTTATTAAATACTGATATAATCATAAATTAATCAATTATACAATTTTAACTTAAACATAGTAAGTGTTGAGTAAGTTAAGGAAGAAGTGAAGGATGTGTTAGGAAGTTATGACAAACCATCCTATCCAGATGAGATTCGAAGATTCAACAATGAACAGTCTAGACAGACTATGCTATCTCAGATCTACTGGAAGAAATTCCAACAGGAATAAATAGCACCTATGTACTCCAGTTTCATATATGTGTTGTCTTCTGTGCCGTTTGTGTGTACATAAATTATTAATTAAGTAATTGTCTAAACTTTTATCCCTGCTAACTTAAAACGAAAGTACCTAGGTCAAGGACATCGATAAAAAGATGTGCACCATGACTTGAAACAACAACTGTGGCACCTGGTTACTTTACACTCGCACGCAGAACATTCACACATTGACACGAAGGACATCTGTCATTTTCTTAAGTCTGGTAGTGTGGTATCCCATTACACACATAATACATTTTGGTGCTTCAATCATTTCTAAATGACATTATGTCTGCCTTTTTTAAATATCCTTGATGTAGATTATAAATGTAATTAATTTGTGATTTAACATAGACTATAAAGATTGTTGGAAACATATTGTACCTATTAAACCTCCGTCACTTTTTCTCAAGAAAAGCTTGTACAGTTATATTCTATAACTTCATTACTACACAACCATTATCACTCGACACTGGCAGACAGTTTGACTGCACGGTTGGCGCGGTGGCTGGTGAGCAACTTGCTGCCGCAAAACGTGTCGCGGGTTCGATTTCCGCACGGAACAACTCTTTGTGTGATCCACAGATTGTTGTTCCGGGTCTGAGTGTCATGTGTATGTGATATTGTATGTTTGTAAACGCACCCATGACACAGGAGAAAATCCTAGTGCGGGGCAACATATTAAAAAAAAACAATTATAGTTTACAACACTGGTTTGGAGCCTCAGTTTGCCAAAGAAGAAAAAAAAACCTTTTTTACAGTTACTACTTTTCATTATTATGTACTTTTTCTTAACAGTATATCACCTACAACAACTGATTGACAAAGAGTGTGAGCCTCAGCATACAACTGTGAAGTTACAAGAGAAACCAACCCATATAGCCACAAGCTGCGACCAGGAACTGCTGGCGGTAACTGGTGGACAACTACTGTGCATCTTTAAAGTCACCGACTTCCAAAATCCAGTATGTGTTTATTTATTTAATTGCTTTTTATGCATTGTCATGGTAATGAGAAGGTCACTTTTCCATATTTTGTTCCATTTTAAGACGTAATCCTATAAATGACAAAAATCATAAACTACCACTAGCTTTTACACATTTTGACCCTTTTTTCACCAAGAATTGGTGGAATGAAAAAGAGGAGCATACTACATTACATAACCTTAGTACATCAGCTACCTTCCAATAAATGCCCCAAGAAAATCGTTCCAGCCATTCCAGAGATTATACATAAAAATGATAAAAAATATTATTTTCATATGCATATAATAATAGTAAAAAGCGGTTATTTTATTTAATATTAGAAACAGACGTCCCAATTTTATTTATCTGATGATGTAAAAAATATAATAAAGTTAGCAAACGATTTTTGTAAAATATAACATATATTTTTATTTCTTTTTTCAGAATGTAGCACCAGCTCTAACAATAAGATGTGAAGTCAACCCATCCACCTTTGTGTCAGCTTTACAATGGAACCCTTGCATTCCTGATACCATCGCCATAGCCTTCTACGACGGTACCCTTCTTGTGGCACAGGCCAGCACATCGCAAGTTGTGAAGGCTGCTTCTAAAGCAAGGTAATAAAGTTCTTAAACTTAATACCTTTTTGTCTTTGATCGCCTATAGAAAAATGGTGACAGACGCGAGCAGTAAGTGGATACAAATCGTGCTAGTCTAGTTTTAATCCATTACATATTTATTTTACTAAAAAGAATATGACAATCATGATATTCAGCTATTTCTAAATCTTATTAATATCATGCTATTGCATTTCCACACTTTTCTATGTGAACCACAACTGTTCAATCCCCAAGCGGTCCCCAGTGACTTCACTAACTCCATTATAGACCGTATTTCCGATGTTTACAGATTACTTTTGTATGAACAAATTTTGGCGATTTTCGGTACGAAATATCAACTTATTAAAACATGATGTATTGACTTCAAGTGCCGATTAAAACATTACTGACCGTTTACATTTTCTACAATCTCCACTGCTTGGTTTTTGCGAGATTTTGTGTGCAAACCTTTAATCCAAATTTCATTTCACAGATGCCTCTGCTGGAGTCCTAAAGGCAAGCAGTTTGTGACAGGCAACAGTGATGGTACTCTCACTCAGTACAAACCGGACTTAACTCCAGCTAAGACCATTCCTGCTCCCAATTTGTTTGCAAATGCGCCCGTGGAAGCATTAGCGGTGTACTGGATTTCAACCTTCCAGTTTGCTGCGGTCTATAAAAATGCTACGGATAATAGTCGCCCTGGTAAGTATCTTTTAATTTTTTTTTTCGTCATCTAAGATAAAGAATACTGTTCTTAGTTTGATTATTTGTACCGAGCTTCGTAATTTAAAATATAAATAAATATATTTGTGCCAAGAGTTGTAATGGAAATTCACTGAGATCCTTTATCCATTATCAATCTATTATATTTTTGGCGCATATAATGATAACAAAATTAAAGTACTTATTATAAAACTCGTACAAAATATTTAATAAAATAAAAAAGCGTATTACAATGTACGCGATTTGGAGATAAGTGTTATGGCAGCACTTGCAACCCATATTCGAGCGCAAGCGCCTATACAAATTTTCATAGTATCCTACGAATTGCGTCTTGTTGCTATTAATATAAATTATGCATTGGCCGGAACACAATCCTTTATCATTTATCCTTTTGCCTCTTATTCTATAAAAATTAAAATAAAATACCTATGTGAATACAGGTAGTATTTACATAGGTATTTTATTTTAGTTTTCAATATCATATTATTTTTATGTGTTTTATGACCTATTTCAATTTCACTATAATACTCTCTAAGTTCAAGTAACTAAAATTTTCTCTCAAACTTGGATTCCTTATTTTTTTTTAGCCGTAACTATCATAAATACGCCAAAAGCTGGCAAACCTAGCTGTCAAAACTACGAAGATATTTGCTACAGTATGGGCTCCAATAGACCTTGGTACTACTACTTGCAAGGATTAGCACAATGGTAAGAAAATAATATTACATTTCTAAATTATGACTGTTATGCGATTCTCAGCCTTACAGTTTACAAAATAAGGTCGCTTCTTTATCGAGCTACTGATATTTTATGCTTATAATTTGTTTTTAATTATGATGCATATTATTTTACTGCCTCGGTGGCCGAGTGGTCGCAAGTGGGACTGCTGGGCAAGGGGTCTCGGGTTCGATTCCCGGGCCAGGCAAAGTATTAATGGGTTTTAAAAAAAATTCTCAGTAGTAGCACGGAGTCTGGAATTGTGCCCGGTATATGGCAATAGGCTCACCCTCTATAACATGGGACTCATAACATAAATAGTGAAAAGTGGGTGTTACATTGCACAGTCTTATTAAGTGTCGTAATGTGCACCTTTGCCTACCCCTTCAGGGATAAAGGGTCTGATGTTATGTTATTATTTTACTGCCTCTAATTTGCTGAAATAGACTTTTGAGCTAATGGCAATGCTTGTCACTACATTTCATCGTCAAAAATATTTTTTCTTCTTCATCAGGAATATTATAATGTCGGCATCGTCCAATGGCATGGAGATAGCGACTCTTGGGTCTGCAGATGGAACTAATTGGGTGCAGTGGTGTCAGGTAATAATAATAATTACAATATCTTTGGATTACTTTCTACATGCCTCGTTGGCCGAGTGGTTGCAAGTGCGATTCGGCAAGGGATCTCGGATTCGATTCCCGAGTCCGGCAAAGTTTAATTGGATTTTATACAAAAAAAATCTTAGTAATAGCATGGAGACTATATATGTGCCCGGTATATGGCAATAGGCTCACCCCCTATTACATGGGACTCATAACATAAATTGTGAAAAGTGGGTGTTACATTATACAGCGACATTAAGTGCCGTAATGTGCACTTCTACCATAAAAAGGCGTGATGTTATGTTATGTTACTTTCTATTCATCTCTGTCACTCAGTAGCAGTCTCTAGCAGTATTCACTCAGCTTCAATGATTTTTCAGATTGATGAAGCGAGGCCGGAGCTGCCTCTAACGGACAAGAAACAGGAGAACTACCCTGTTGGCGTTTGTATTGACACATGTGCTACACATCAAATACAGTGGGGTATGTATTAAAACATTGCATTAACTTATGGTGCCTCTGTCGCGGAAAACCTAACGGGTTATCGGTGCTCTGGCTCGAAGTGCAGGAGAAGGAACGGGGTGGTTTTTAGTCAGAAAGAGTCTGACACTCCCTTCCGCCTCACCCAGGTGGGAGCAGTCATTCGATGATTTTCCCCCATTAAAAAAAAGTGCTGCAGGCTACGGGGAATGTTTGCCATCTGATAGCCTGAAAGCTGTGCTGGTAATTTACTTTAGTAAATATAATCTGATGTACTTAGTCGTATTAGATATTTTAGTTTCACATTTAATTGCCTAATTTGTCTAGGAGTTGTCTACTGCTCACCATTAGAGCGCAGTTTTATAAAAATGTGAAATTCCGAAAATGATCAATGCCATCTTTATTGCCTTTTGTCGTAATATGCGCTAATAATTATATAACCGTGATCGGAATTTCTGAACATTGTAAAGTTATTAATTCAATTCAATTCAATAGCAATAAAACTATCTAAGAGATTGGTCGTATTCTCATCTAACATAAACAACATTCAACATAAACTAACAAACAACACTGTATGGACTTACAACCCTATAATGGATGTAGAATAACTAATTGTGTAAATTACTCTTTTTCTATAGATGAAACCAACTTACTGCCGCACATGCCACTCCTCCACGTGGTGTCTCAGACCGGTCTGCTGTCAGTCTTCAACATAATCTCCTTGAACAAGCGACACAGGTCTGCTCGCCTCCGCAACAACTTGTACTTCCTGCAGCCGCTATGACAAGGTGAGAAAATATCTGGGATTATTTGTTTATAGTTTTACCTATGTGAAAAATAGACAAAAATTACGTAAGGTAACAGGCTACTGAGCGATCTTACAGCACAGCTTGTCGTCATCGGGCTGGAAACTTTAACTTAACGTATTTTTACATGTTTTATAATTTACTAGCGACCCACTCCGGCTTCGCACGGGTGCAATATGCATGTATTATACATATAAACCTTCTTTAAGATCATCATCAATCCGTAGCGTAGTTTTGAAGATTTAAGCATACTTAGGGACAGACAGACGGCGGATAGCGACTTTGTTTTATACTATGTAGTGACTGTATCTCCTTCCTTCCCCCTCCTCCATCCGAAAGAAAAACTTACTATAGACAGTTAGCAATGACAGCAAGATGTCTGCAGAATGATAATGTTGATGATTTTATCACCGTTTTGATATTTTTAAGTGTGGGAGAGCCATGCTTCGGCACGAATGGGGATGGGGATGAAAAATAGATGTTGGCCGATTCTCATAGATACCGGATAAGCACAAAAAATTTCTTCAAAATCGGTCAAGCCGTTTCGGAGGAGTATGGCAACGAAAACTGTGACACGAGAATTTTATATATTAGATTCATTCCAATGTATTGTACTTGTACAGTGCGATACCAGGAGAAGCTCCTCAAGTTGCCCCGGCGCCCGCGCCAGCTCCGGCGCCCGCTCCGGCCCCCGCCCCTGTTGCACCTGCACAGCCAAAGGTAAGATGTATAAAAATGAATATTCACATATTGGATGCCGTGTCGGACAATGATGTCCGACGCTAGCGGAGGATTAGCCTTTAACAATTTTTGTCGGCGTTTAAAGGCTTAAATTGTTGTTCTATTATTAGTTTATTTCAAAATCACACAGAAAAAAACAGGTCCCATTCACAAAAAAAACACCAGTATCACTCGTTTTATTCCCGAAAGGGTAGGCAGAGGTGCACTTAATGCCACTGTACAATGTGATGTATGAGTCCCATGTAATAGGGGGTGAAATTGCCATATACCAGGCACAATTCCAGTCACCATGCTACTACTGAGAATAAATGAAACAGTAATATAATAATTTACTTGACCCGGGAATCGAACCGGACCCGAGACCCTTTGCCCGGCAGTCACACTTGCGACCACTCAATCGGTGGCAGGTACCATTTAACAGCTATTGTCGGAATACTGAAACGCTACTCAATTTTAAGTCGTGCTTAAGTATAGTTCTATCTCTACAAATTCTTTGTAAAATGACAGAGATGGCATGATATTTGAGCACGACTTAAAATTGAGTAACGTTTCAGTATTCCGGCATGCAGTATGAATATTACTTTTGAAGTAAGATTTTACAAAAGTGATATGTATCTATCTAAGTACTTATACAAACACTTATTTACAGCCTCTATTGCCCCAGCCGCCACAAATGATGTCGCAGTTACAAGCCCAACTAGCGTCTACACCCACCCAACCAGCTCCACAGTTCAGTATACTTAACATACCAAAACCACCAAGCTATGCACAGTCTCAGTCGCAGCTATTTAGTACAACAGGTATGTAATCTTGATGTTTAGTAATAAAATACTTTTCACTCAACTTCAGAATTCATTTAGATAAAACTAGCGACCCGCCCCGGATTCGCACGGGTGCAATATGCATGTATTATAGATACAAACCTCACAATATCTTATCTACACGTACACGTAACGCATTCTATATTCATTTTCGAATGTTCTAACCTCGCTTAAGAATCACTCTATCTAAAAAAAACCCGCATCAAAATCCGTTGCGTATTTTTAAAGATCTAAGCATACACAGGGACAGACAGACGGCGGATAGCGACTTTGTTTTATACTATGTAATGATGATGCACCGAGAGTGATTATGTATAAATTGCGGGTTACTCACGTGAATATACTGAAAGAAAGTCTACTGTCAGTAGACTGACTGACCGACAGACTAATATTTTTTCTTTAATATTTGAATATTTTGTTGTAATGTTTAAAAGTGCTTTCCTGATCTAATTAAAATAAATGATGTTGACTTTGACTTTGCTGCGCGACATCGCCGCGAACGCGCACGCTGCTCATGGCTCTGTGGCTCTAAACTAATAGAACTTTTCTCAATATATTCACGTGGGTAACCCGCGATTCTTACTTAATTTAGTAAGTCTCACGATAATTATTATAAAAACTGATAGTGATTCTGTACTATTCTATTCTTTTAACCTCTGGTATGTCGGAGCGTAGGTCTACGCGAGACACAATGCATTGTCTATTGTGTCTCATATATCGACAGTCAAGAGGTCTACAAATAATAATAAACAAACGTTTCAATTTTCAAGGCTCAGCTCCTGTCCAAACCATACCAAAACCGGCTCCAGTAGACGTAAAACCGACACCAGCACCTCAACCAACAGTACAGGCTGCTGCGGTAAGTGTACTATTTTAAACATGAACAATTTGGCCATAATATTGTAATAGTGGAAGATCCATGCTTCGGCACGAATGGGCCGGCTCGACCGGAGTGATACCACGGTCTCATAAAAAACCGACGTGAAGCAACGCTGGCGTTGTGTTTCGTCGTGTGAGTGAGGTTACCGGAGGCCCAATTACCCTCCCCTTCCCCAATCTGCCCAATCCCTGAATCCCCAACAATCCTCAAACTCCTAATCCCCAAAAGGCCTGTAATGCACTTGTAACGCCTCGGGTGTTTCAGGTGTCCATGCGCGACGCCGATTGCTTACCATTATATGATCTGTCTGATCAGGGGCGTGCACAGAGATTTGAAGTAGGGTAGGCAGAAGGTATCACATGATTAAAAATAAATTTGGTCTAGGTACATTGATCTCGGAAAATAAAACTCCCGAAACATCATAGTTTTGAGTAGGTAAGGTTTAGTAAGTATTTTATTAATTTGTATAAACAAATTAGGTACATAATTATTTTAAAACTATCCGTGTATAAAGTTGATCAACATAGATCTATCGGTAGGTATCTATTTTATAAATCTATTAACTAGGTACCTACTTTGGAGCGGCGACACCAGTATAACTGACCGTTAAATGCATAGAGAAATCGTACAAAGCGAGATCAAGATAGACTGGATTTTAAAAACAATAATTAAATTGGTACACAACCAGTGCTAACAAACTATACCTATAATCGCAGATCGTAGTTTATTAAAAGAAATAATAAAATTATTACCTTTTTTGAGTTACGCCTAGCCGGACATACGACACACACAAAATCGCCTTTGGAAATATTTTCGTTTTTCTTCAAACGAGAATAACGACAACGCACTCATATTGAATTTATTGAACAACACAAATCACCAGCACAGACCTCACAGCTATAATTTTACATAATTTTCGGTAAATTAACAGTTCATTTAAATTATAATTCATTACATTACAATTTATTCACTTGCACATAAAAACATAACCAAAACAATTGAAAACAAAATGGCCAAAAAAACGTAAACAATAAGTTGACCAAAATTAATATACCTATTTTCAATCAACAAACGCTACGTTTTGTTGACTTCTTAAATTAGTCGGATAACGAAGAAGCAGTGCTTTTGCAGTTGTATAGAAATTACCAACCTAACAAAAAAAAAATCCAACATCAGCACGAGAAAACAAGCAAATTGTACCGGCTAGCATTAGTACATGCTTCCGCCACCATCACACAATAGCGAGGTGGCGGCGCCACTGGCGCAATGCTCCAATATCGAAGAAAGTAGAAAATGGTTGTAGTACTTCAATATTTTTTCAATAGATGGCGTTAGTTACAAGTTTTCCGAATTAAGTATCAATAAAATTACGAAATCTCTGTATGATGTCAGTAAATATTCATGTCGTGTATATGAGTGACACTATGTAATTGACTATGTAGGTTTACCATGATTTTGTAGGGTATGCAGTGCTTATTTGCATGTATGGTGTGCACGCCACTGTGTCTGATCAGTTAACGACTCATGCCATAAAAAAAAATTTGGTTCTAGTATTTAGATATATCCATCAACTTGTTTCATCATCATCTTCAATAACCTGTGGCAGTACATTACTAGACTATGTACCTTCTCTATAAAAGAAGTGGTTTGCATATAGAAGAGTTAGTTTAATCTCGACGCTTGATATGGAGTATCCAAAGAATCCTGAAGTTGCAGAAATTGCAGAGTGGTTTATTGGAAAATTGCGCTCTCGGATACATCTGTTTTTTTTTTAAACTTAGATAGAAAATATCCCTAAATTAATGTTTTTTCCCAACAGCCACAAAGTCAGCCAGCTGCCCCCAAACCTCAACCGGCACTGGCGCAAGAAAATGCCGCGATAAAAGCAGAACAAGATAAAATAAATGAAATGAAAGTGAACCAAGAGTTGAAAAATATGCTTGTCAAAGAAGTGAACGACTTTCAAATGGAACTGTACAAGTTTATGGTAAAGACTAAGGAAACTCAAGCTAGGGTGAGTGAATTAATAGTAATAGTAATAAGTCACAATTTTATTTAATGAATAAGTTGTTAAATGTATTTTTTTTTTAATGTAATTTGAATTGACTGCACGGTTGATGGTTGCCGTGCAAGGTATCGCGGGCTCGATTACCGCATGGAACAACACATTTTGTAATCTACAAATTGTTGTTTCGGGTCTAGGTGTCAAGTGTATGTGAATTTGTATGTTTGTAAGCGCACCCACCACACAGGAAAAGTAGTGTGGGCCAACGTTTAAAAACAATTGAAAAAAAAATTAATAAATCTACTATAATAATAGGTATGTAATATACCCAGTTTAAGCTTATATTTATTGTCACATGCTTTCATGACAGTTTTTAATTTGGTTAATATAAACAACTTATCGTCAAAGTGGGTAACAAAGCAACTTCGTCGACTGTACATATTAGTTTATTATTCAGTAAATAGTAATTTTGAACCAACTCTGAATGACTAATTAAATTTTATAAACAACTAGCGACCCGCCCCGGCTTCGCGCGTGTGCAATATGCATGTATTATACATATAAACCTTCCTTATGAATCACTCTATCTATTAAAGAAAACCGCAACAAAATCCGTTGCGTAGTTTTAAAGATCTAATCATACATAGGGATAGACAGACGGTGGATAGCGACTTTGTTTTATAATATGTAGTGATATTTTTCAACAGTTACAACGCGACATAGATTCAATCAACGCTAATTTCAACTATACGTCGCAAGACGCGGAACAGTTGAGGAAGGAATGTTCTTCCGATGAACTGCGCAACGCCATCGTACAACTCAAGTTGGAACTAGTTCGCGCGTGCGCTGTTGTCGCTGAAGCTCGGACGCATGCTGAGTAAGTACTTAGTTATTTTTTTTTTATAAAATATTAAGGAACATAAGCAGATGGATCAGCTGAAGGTAAGCAATCGATGCCGCCTACGGACTCACATAACACCAGAGGTGATACAAGTGCGTTACTGTCCTTTTGGATTACGGATATTGGGCCCCCGGCAACTTCATTTACACGACAAAACACAACGCAAGCATTATTTCACGCCAGGTTTCTGTGTGGCCGTGGTATCACTCATTCGAGTCAGCCCATAATGTCCCTTTTATGTGTGAAAATAAACTGTAAATTATTGAAAGAAATAGTACTAACATCATCAGTTTTAAAGGACATCCTATCTTTATTAATTACTAGCTACTTCCGCGCGGTTTCACACGCTCTGCTCAGCTCCTAATGGTCTTAGCGTGATGTTTTATAGCCTATAGCCATCCTCGATAAATGCGCTATCCAACACAAAAATAATTATTCAAATCAGACTTGTAATTACGGAGATTAGCGTGTTCAAACAAACAAACAAAAAAACAAACTCTTCCGCTTTATATAATAGTTATTAATTATATAATTTATTCTTGCAATTAAAATTACTTTTAGATCAAAAGACAGTTATCAATGGACGAAAGCAGATCCTCTGACAACAAAACGAGTGGCGTCTGTGAAGAAGTTGGCGTATTACGTACAAAATCAACTCGAGCAAGCGCAGAAATCACTTGACATTAAGTGGAATGAAACTGTAACTAAAGACCCGCAGTTTAGCAAGTAAGTTTATCATTATTTGTTATTTATGATGTAGAGCTGTTAATTGAAAGTATATATTTTTGCTTTCTATTAAAGATGGTTTTAGAATAAAGCCATTTTTAAAGGAATGCAAATGCAAAATCTTTCAAAAAAATTTAAGTGGTATCAATTATGTTCTGTATTATTGTGATATTGAAAACTATGGACAGCTTGAACTTGATATTATAGATAAAATTATTATTTATTTGTAGTTATAATGTAAAAAATACTGTGTTTCTCAGGCCAGGTCAGCGTATGATTCGCCCAATCCTAGACGACGTATACCAACCACTAGTGAAACAACAAGAGATACTAAGTCGCCAACAAGCTGTACTACGAACTCTAAGGAATACGCTCAACGAGTGTGACGTCACGCCTATGTTCAAAACCAGCTCACTATTGAGAAGCACGCCGTTTAGGAACAAGTAAGTGACATTGTAATTCTGACTTCATTTCAATGGCTTTAAGTGTTAAACTCGCTTGGCTTATATTCGGTGTGATTATTTTGAACTGTTGTCAACAAGTAAGTTTCAACTTTATCTCAATGTAAATGATCTAAACTTGCTTGGCACAACCATATACGTGTATGTGATTATTTACAACAGTTTTTAATTTATTTCCTCCTTATATTTTCTTACATTTTTGGCTTCGTGTTTAAATACATTGGCTGAACAAACGCTATTCAAAATTGTGTAGGTAGCTAAAAAAAATAAACTCCACAGGGATCCCCTTTCGAAACTAACGAAGAATATCTTAAATATGAGTATTGATGCTACTGACAGTAAGAAGAAGGAACCGCTGCTGTCTTCTCAGAAATTAGACGCTCTCAGAGACATGTTGTCTAACCATAAGACGATTAAAATCAAGCCGGTTAATGTTGAAGTGAGACAACACTTGGCTACAATGAGAATGAATTATGAAAAGAGTATGAAGGAGAAAGCACAGCCCATAAAGACTGAAGTCCCTAATCCGCAGCCTGATGTTAAACCTCTGGTTAAGCCGGGTAAGTAATTTTGTTGCTTTGTTTTGGAATAGATTTTGAAACCTTACAAGTAAAATAACTGGTTATCTTAATAACAGTGATTTAACTTCAACAGTAGAATACATTTATAAACAAATAAGTAAAAAGAATGAATTTCAGACAAACAATTCAAAACTAAACATTAATTTGGCCTTACTGCTTGGTAAGTGCAGTGACAGGATGACATAATCCTACACAATTTGTCTCAAATTTCATTCCCACACGGAATAACTTTGTGCAATCCACAACATGCTGTTTCTGGTCTAGACGTGATTTGATATAAGGGGCAAACATTAATACAATTATATTTCGAGTTTTATAATAGTTTTTGAAATGTGACATTACAAAGTTTAGGATCCCTCCCTCCCCCTTGTTACACAATGTCACACTTCACCGACCCCCTTCCTCACCCCTTAACGTATGACGTAATTTATGGATGACCCCTAAGGAATATATTGACACATTTATGTAATGTAATAATCTTTTGTAGTTCAACAACAACTGTTTGCGATGCCTAAAGTTGAACCCAAGTTGGAGCTGAAACAGGAGCCCTTCAAACCGGCCCCTCTCAACGTGCCATCGTTTACCCCGGTCGGTGGAGTGAAACCCGCCATCCCTGGCTTGACCAACGTTGCTCGAACACTGTTTACTGATGGTAAGTAACTTTGTTTTTATGAGACAAACCGGCAAACGAGCAAATGGATCACCTGATGGTAAGCAATCGGCGTCACCCATGGACACCTGAGGCGTTACAAATGCGTTACCGGCGTTAAGACCTTAACGGATTACGAATTTAAGGAATGTAGGGGATTTAGGGATTGGGGAAGGTGGGGGGGGGGGTAGTTGGGTCTCCGGTAAACTCACTAACACGATGAAACACAACGCAAGCGTTGTTTCACGTTGGTGGTTTTCTTTGAGGCCGTGGTATCACTCCGGTCGAGCCGGTCCATTTGTGCCGAAGCATGCCTCTCCCACACTTAAAACTATTTAAATCGTTATGCTGTTCTCTATAACTAAAAAAATCCAAAAATTGCTTAAGCAAAATGTGAATGTGACGTAAAGTACATAATTATTATGCCACTGTAGTGTATCATACACACTCAAATTATTGCTGCGTATTTTACTTAAACTAACTGATATATGCATATCACGATCACGATTTATTGCGTTTTTACGAAATTCTGACAAAATGAAGTTACTATAAAAACCAACACGCCTTTTATCCCCGAAGGGGTAGGCAGAGGTGCACATTATGCCACTGTACAGTGTAACGCCCACTTTTCACTATTTATGTTATGAGTCCTATGTAATAGAGTGTGTGCCTATTGCCATATACCGAGCACGATTCCAGACTCCGTGCTACCACTGAGATTATTTTTTTAATCCCAGTAATACTTTGCCCGACCCGGGAATTGAACCCAAGACCCCTTGCCCGGCAGTCACACTTCCGACTACTCAACTAACGAGGCAATTAGTTACTATTGTTATGATTGAAATTCAAGAATGCTATTATTACTACACTATTATTAGCATCATTTATGCAGTAAAAAATCGATAACCTTCATCTATTTGATCTCGTAACAGAAATACTTTTATTTTTAGAACCTAAACCAGAGCCACCAAAATCTCAACCGCAACTGGCCCAGCCGAAGCCTGCAGCCCCTGCCTTTGCATTCTCCAATAGACCTGCATCAGCTGAGACGCGCAGTGTACTGAAAGACCTCCTACAAAGTAAACAGACGACTAAAAACGATAGTAATAACTTATTCATGGGACAGAAAATATGTTCGCCGTCTTCGTTTTCGGGTAAGTTATTTTATTTTTTTAATTTATATCTCGTCATGTAACTGGAAAGCTAGTTTTAGAATAATTTTGTCATGAAAATAAGCCAATAACTTACGACTTACAGTTAACATTAGTGAATCCCTAAATGATAAGTAATAATATAAATATTGTTTTGCTTTTTTCCTCCTTAATTTGATATCTAATATCACTTTGTATACTTTTTCGGATCACACCATATTCAGTATTGTAATATTTTTATTTTAGCGACAACAACCGCACCAACATCAGCACCTGCTCCAACACCAGCATTTACATCCAAACCCATTGCTGACATTAACAACATGTTCAGTAAATTCCAACCCCCGACATTAGCACAAGACAATAAACAAACTTTAGCTTCAGAACCTAAGCCCCAACCATTAGTACCAGAACCTAAGCCCCAACCGTTAGTAGCAGAACCGAAACTTCCATCTCTAACTGAACCAAAACCTTTCGCTCCAAAACCTGAATCAACCTCAATATTCGCAAGTCCCAAGTCAAGTGAGACTGGAGAGCCAGAAACTGACAGTAAACCAGCTGTAGTTAAATCATCGACTATCAACAAACCACTTACAAATCTATTTCAACTTAAAACTTCAACACCTGCTCCAAGTCCTATTGTTCCTGACGTCATAAAAACTACTAAAGAAGTAAAGGCTGATACTAAACCCGCTGAGAAAGAAAAGTCTAAAGAAAATGTTCCTCAAAATGTAGAAAATAAAGTTGCACCGAAACCTGTTAGTGAAAATAAAGAAGCTCCTAAGCCATTGACTGCACAAACGGCTAATAGGACGTCGATATTTGGATCGGCACCTCAAGCAGTTGCTGCAAGTACTCCTATTACCAGTCAAAGTAAGATTTTTAATGAATTACTACTTCTGGTATATTATTAACCTTGTATAAAAATGTATTTTAACGAAATTTTTATTCCAGGTGAACCACAAAAATCTGTGGAATCGAAAGGAGATTCTTTTAAAGTACCTGAAAAGATTGTTTCATCTTCTTCTAATGTTTCTTCAATATTTGGTAGCACCAATGTTGCAGCTCCTACAGGTAATATATCTTAGAATAACTTTCTTTAACCTTAATTAAGTAGTTTCCAAAATATTTATGTTTTATTTTTATTCTCAGAAACCAAATCTCAGACCAGTGTCACACCTGAACAACCAACTTCGAAATCAGATACGCCTACAAAAGAATCGGCATCTACTGCTTCAAAACCTACACTTAATATTGCTGCAGCTTCTTCTACACCTTCAGCCGCTTCTGTATTTGGAGCAGCGGTGGCTTCACAATCAAAACCTTCAACTCCAACATCCATATTTGCTACAGGTGCCACCCCATCTCCAACTCCTGCTTCTGTCTTTGGTACATCTTCGCAAGGCTCAATATTTGGAAGCACATCGCCTACATCTACGACAACTGCTCCAGTGTTTGGTTCTACAGCTCAATCAGTATTTGGTAGTGCTAATAGTACAACCAAACCTTCAGTGTTCAGTACGCCTGCACCTGCATCTACTGAGGCTCCGTCATCACCTCATTCGGTATTCAGTTCAGCTGCAGCTTCAACAACTCAAGCGGGTTCCGTATTTGGATCTTCCTTTACCCATCTCCTGTTTTCGGTTCGACTGCAACTACTTCAGCTGCACCAGCCACGCCATCTTCAGTCTTTGGATCTTCAACTACACAATCCGTGTTTGGTTCTACGTTAACCACACAAGCTTCTGCATTCGGTGCGTCAACTACTACAACTCAATCTGTTTTTGGGACAGCCACTACGACGACACAATCATCTATGTTTGGCAATGCAGCTTCAAGTGCTACTAGTGCATTTACATCGACGGCTACACCGTCTTCGGGTGCACAGAGCATATTTGGTGCAGCAGCTAGTACGACTGCGCAGTCTGTATTTGGAGGGCAAGGAACTTCTATTTTTGGATCAGCACCGCCTAACAAGACTGTATTTGGAACAGCAACAACTCAAGCTTCTGTCTTCGGTGCGGCAACCGCTACTACTCAGTCATCAGTGTTTGGATCCCTACACCAACTACTCAAGCTTCAGTTTTTGGGACTGCACCAACTACCAGGCATCAGTTTTCGGAAGTGCGCCGACTACACAAGCGGCGGTGTTTGGGAGTGCCCAACTAGTCAAACATCTGTGTTCGGAACTGCGCCAACAACTCAAGCATCGGTATTTGGTAGCACGCCGACTACTCAAGCGTCAGTATTTGGTACTCAGCCTACTACAACAGCTCAGGGTTCTCTCTTCGGTGGTGGTGAAGCCAATTTGTTTGCGGCGGCCAGTATATCTACAACCAGCGCTCCTTCACAGACCAGTGGCGGCAGTATCTTCGGAGGAGGGTAAGAATACAGTTATTTCTTTTCTTTAGCCTTATTGTATCTATTAAATAAAATGATTACACACATCACCTTTAAACCGTCAAATTTTTCAGGGCCTCGACTGGTTCCGTATTTGGTGGCGGTGGTAATACAAACGTGTTCGGTGGTAAGCCGCCTTTGGCCAGTCCAATTCCACCGCGGCTGCTATCTTCGGCGGTGGAGGAGCAACGAGCTTCGGTGAACAAAAACCTGCTACCAACTTCTGGTCTGGAGGAAGCAATTCTGGAGGAGGATTTGGATCTACTGGTTTCGGTAAATATGAAACATGTTTACTATATTTTTGCAAAATAGCTTATTGGGATATTAATGTTTTAAATGTTTCTAACCCATCGGTTATATTTTTTATGTTATTTTTATTTATCGAATCTCATCATAAATGTGTAAACAGGTCAACAAGCTACAACAAGCGTCATCAATCTTCGGCAATACAACAGGTGGTAGCTTTAGTACACCGTCTCCTGCTGGACAAGCGTTTGGCAGCCCTCAAACCCCAGCATTTGGATCGCCACAGCAACAAGCAGGTAAGCACCTAAGTATTGAATTTTTTAAATTATGTTTATAAAACAGACTTCAATGAAACATAATAATTAATAAATGTTCAACAGCATATTTACAGTAATTTTTCATGAAACTCGGTGTGGCTCGAAACTAATCAAGCATCCTTGAAATATATAGACAATAGAGATAAGAAATAATAAATAAGTATCTATTACGCAATGGTAGTAATTCATCAAAGCATAAATATTTCAAGAATAATTTATATCGCAATATTTAACAAAGACACTTGCTGACCGCCACGTTGACCGAGAGGTCGCAAATGCGACTAAGGAGTCTCGGGTTAGGCAAAGTAATACTGGATTTTAAAAAAAAGTAGTAACACGGATCTTTAATTCTGCACGGTATATGTCACTATTGCCATATACCGTGCGCAATTATATTATCATTATCAAACTCACCCCCTATTACTTAGGACTCATAACATAAATAGTGAAAAGTGGGTGTTACGTTGCACAGTGGCACTAATGTCGAAATACCGAAACGCTACTCAATTTTAAGTCGTGCTTAAGTATAGTTCTGTCTCCACAAATTCTTTGTAAAATGACAGAGATGGCACGATATTTGAGCACGACTTAAAATTGAGTAACGTTTCAGTATTCCGGCATCTGTGGCGTAATGTGCACCTCTGCCTATAAAGGCTGTGATGTTATGTTATGTTACACTTGCTGACATAAAGGATAATATATTTTTATTCTTAGCTCCTGCATTCGGTGGTTCGCCTTCATTTGGTGCAAAACCCGTATTCGGCCAGCTTCTGGTTTTGGGTCTCCACCTAGTGGTGGGGGCTTCGGCTCTTCATTTGGAGGATTCAATAAGAGTCCCAGTGGAGGGTTCGGAGCACCAGCGGCCTTCGGAGGAGGAGCTACGTTCGGTGGAAGTCCAGCTTTTGGAAGTACGTCTCCTGGGAAAATGTTTGGAGCTGCACAACCCAGTAAGTACCTATTATTATTATTTGTATCCATAAAATTGATAAAAAGTCTTCTGGGTATTTAATATTGAGTTTTCGTTTTTATTGACACAATATAATAATGATTTCCTTCTTTTTTTTTGTTAAATTGTCACCGATCAAAAACTAACGTCAATAATAAAGGACTACAAGACTGCCCATTATTCCACTTTGATTGAACTAAGTCAAATTATATCGACCCGTTTGTAAAAACTGCACTTTTATTGTTATTAAATAATGTACTACATCAGTAATACAACTATGTTTAATTTTTCCAGCAGGTTTCGGTCAGCCGACGCAGTCAAACGCTACGTTCGAGAGCTTAGCGACTCAGAACACGTTGACATTCGGCAACCTGGCGCAACAGGCGCAGGCGCCGCAACCACAAGCTCCTACCTTCAACACGTGAGCATTGGTTTTGCATCTAACTCTTTATATTTTATCGATATTTTACAGTAAATACATACATACATACATAACTTCACGCCTGTCTCCCATGGGGGTAGGCAGAGACTAAGGAACGCCAATTACTACGATTCTTACATACCTCTTTCGCTTCATTAAATATGGTTAAAATAAAAGTAATACGCAACCTACACCAGTTATGTTAATTCCGAATGTACAAAATAAACACTATTACCGTACTTCATGCACCATCACTGACTCCGACCTATTGAGAATTATCTAAAACCGAAAAGGCAATAATATGAAACTCTTTCTACTCAGAAATTGTACTCTGTTGAGTGTGACCCAATGTTTGATAGTCGAAATTAATATTTGTCGGCCAAATAAGAATATTCTTAGAATACACATATGTGTGACTGCCTCGTTGGCCGAGTGATCGCAAGTGCTAAGACTGCCGGGGTAGGGGTCTCGGGTTCGATTTCCGGGTCGGGCAAAGTATTACTGGGTTTTGAAAAAAGTCGCAGTGGCAGCACGGAGATTGGAATTGTGCCCAGTATATGGCAATAGGCTCACCACTTATTACATGGGACTCTTAACATAAATAGTGAAAAGTGGGTGTTACATTGTACAGTGGCATAATGTGCACCTCTGCCTGCCCCTTCGGGGATACATATGTGTATATCTTTATAATCTAACTTCCGTGAGACATACCAAATTAACTTACTCACGGTCACGGCTTACTCACGTAACCGCCGCGTCGTGTGTCGCGGAATGTTGCTCATGAATATGAAGCTCTAGCATGGCTTGAAACTGAGCCGCGGAGCACTTAACGGGTTACTGGGGCTCCGGCTCGAAGTACAGGAATAGGAACGGGGTGGTTTTTAGTCAGTAAGAGTCTGACCTCTCGCCTCACCCAGGCGGGAGATGTCATTGGATGATTTTCCTTCCTCAAAAAAATATACCTTGAAACTAGTCGAGTTGCCTCGTCAAACAGTTGCGTGAGTAAGCTGAAAAGAGTAAATAATCACTTTATTTCTTCCACCAGGTCTCCATCTTTCACTGGCTGGCGTGGCTAAGGGCTCGACGAGTAATATGTTCTCATAATGAAGAAACTAAAAATGTATAAGCGTAGTGCCAATATGATATTCGTAATCTATTTAAATGTTTTATAGCGAAATCATTGTAATCGATTGTCTGTATTCAGTGAATGATATAATAAAACATGTAACCAATTCATTTAACAATTTCATTTATAGTTTGTTTCCTAAAGCACACAATTTGATATATAACTTTCACCTGCAACCGACAGTTTGGCAGCAGCATCTTCTAATAGTTGGTGATTCCCAAACCCTGCGATAATTACAGTGGACGTAATTCGCAGTATCTGTGACTGTGAGGTCTACAGAATGAGGAGATCATTTACATTTTTAAAATGTATTATAGTAAAATGCAACATTTATAAACAAAATCGCTTTGGCTAATTAATGATGTTGCGACGTGATAGGTGTAATATACGCAAATAATAAAAGAAATAACTGACTCGTTGTCCGAGTGGTCGCAAGTACGACTACAATATATTGTATATATGCGGGCGAGGGGCCTCGGGTTCGATTCCCGGGTCGGGCAAAGTGTTACTGGGTTTTTCAAAAAATCTTAGTAGTAGCACGGAAATATGCCTGGTACATGGCAATAGGCTCACCCCTTTACATGGGACTCATAACATAAATAGTAAAAAGTGGGTGTTACTTTGTACAGTGGCATTAAGCGTCGTAATGTGAACGAGATGTTATGTTATGTAAATGAAATAATAACAAGTGTTCTCGTAGTCCCTTATCTCCCCTATTGAAATTCCCAATACATAATACTTCACGACTTCATAGCATCCCAATTGCAGTTCGTACTAGTTTAAAGTTGATTCGTTAGTACAACTCCTATGTCCGAGTGCGAACTATGCCATCTCACTGTTTGCTAATGACCTATCCTGAATGTATAATGAGTTCATGCAAAGTTAAGAAAAACTTCATCCGTTGAATAACTTTGTATGTCCTAGTCGTCCTACTTCTACTAATGAGGCAGCGATCGAGTTATTGAAGGGAAACTTTGTGAGTGAATCCGTTGCTTGTTATTCGAACATCATAATGGACTTGTAGTAGCGGGAGTCAGTGGAACTGCTGAACACGTAATCTATAGGTTTGGTATCATTGTAATATCGAAAAGAGGTTTAGCTTTCATTCTCAAAGTGGGTATACCTTTTTTTAATATGGGAGGAAACCTTTAAAATGTGCCTAGGTTTTTGGGGACAGAGACTAAGGATTGTGGGATTCGTACCTCACTAAAACCACCCCGGTGGCCACCCTCAGCACCCGTAAGGGGTACCGGATCCTCTGAAGAGACCTTCTCCGAAAACCCCACGATGCTACGCCTATTACAGCACATCCCTAGGGAAGTAGGGTATAAGTACCTACACTAAATGCTAGTTTTTAGAAACAACTGCTACACAGGAAAAACTGAACACATCTGAAATTTAAATACAACTGAATGTAATCCAAATGCAACTATCTAGGTACTTAGTCAAAGCCTAACGGTCTTATTATTATGCAGCCAAAACTGCAAACAAAAGCTTGCAGCTTGCCGCATTATTCATAATATTCAAACAAAGACAAATTATTCGCGCTGCAGGTGTTGTCGTGTAAACAAAACTTGTTCCGTATAATGGGTGACATTAGTCTTGCCTGCAAATTACACCCGGCTGTTTGCACCTCAAGATTGGGGTCATTACCGCCAGACGTTGCCTTGCTTTATTGTCTTTTCTGGCAACGCCTAATTGCTGCTGAAATTATTGTAGTGCAACGTTTTATAATTTTTTCTATACAGATTGTTTGATTGTTTTACCTATGCGATATGCGAACAAAGATTTTATAGCAGGTATGATTTTTATGCCGATACTGATCCAATGATCATCAGCAATCATAATCAGGTAATCATCGATTAGCTTAAAGTATTTATGGTTAAATGCCCTTAGGCCGTTAGTTAAAAGAAACATAAATTAGTAGCTAGGTACGTACTAAATCTATGTACCTGATTTTTTTTAAGGGGGAAAATCATCGAATGTTTGCTCCCGCCTGGGTGAAGCGGGAGGGAGTGTCCGACTCTTACTGACCAAATAACCACCCCGTTCCTTTTCCTGCACGTCGAGCCGGAGCCCCGGTTGCCCATTAGGTTCTCCGCGACTATATAGGTACCTGATTGGCAAGTTAAAAGTACATAATATACTGAAGTAGAAAAATCCGTTAAACACAGATATAATCCATTTCAAAACATTAACTAGATTTCGTTGCACTTACAACTCGTGTCCCAATCCCATAAACTGCAGCTACAAAATGTAATTAATTTACTCTGAAGTGAGACGTGAAAATGGTTGTTACAAAAATGTGAAGCGAACTCGAGGGCTCTCTGTCAATACGAGAGCTTTTACCTACTTCACGCGAACGAATTCGTTCGTCCAATAAAATTCAATTAAAACGTTCAAAATACATAGGTATCTATCTACCTTCCTCCTATGTAGGTATGTATTTACTGCATAGGAGGAAATTATCTTGTTTATAAGAGTGCGAGTGTCAGTGGTTGCCAGTGCCACTGTTTATAGGGCTCGGGTTCGATTCCCGAAACGAAAATCTGGTTTAAAAGAATCCATATTTGTCTTACCTAGGAATCGAAAGCCCGTGTTCGGTAGTGGCCCTTTGTGACTTCTAAATTCATTAGAACTTATAAAAACATGACGTACCTATTGTTTTTATAATAACTATCGTGAGACAAACTAATTTAACTAAAAATACTGAACATTTTGTTTTCTATAATTGCTTCTGGATATTGGTATTCGAAATAGTTTCTGCGGTCGACGTTATCCCGGAAATTAAACTAGAATATAGGTCGAACCGACTAGGTGCTACTTAGCGCATCTAATAGTTAGCAAACCTGCGAACCTCTATTGACAATAATTTAGGATTTGCTCGTACAGGAAATTAACAAGATAATTCATAAAGGCCGAGGGTTCAAATAATTGATATCGGAGCACATTAATTGAATGAGACGATGATAGGTAAGGAAGGTATAAGGTATTAATCATTACCTACTAATGTTTTGCATATGTGCTAGGTATTAAATGATAACTACTTACGCTGTGTAAAATAAACAAAAAAAATCTACCTACCTAACCTATCTAAACATAAAACCAAAATCAAATAAAGGCTTTAAGGGTTTGACCATTGTAACTGAAAAAAAGACATTTTTTATTTATTTTCTCAAGAAGTAGGTATGCAGGGAACTATGTTCTGAACTACAATACCTACATTATCATATCAGATTAATACATCTTTGTATCAGACCGTTTCCGTTCACTGCTAGAATTGCTTAGGTCTCATCAATAGGACGTTACTGATTGGATCTTCCGCCCTAAAAAGCTTCGAATCGAAAAACGAATGCCTCTTTGTGGCTATCGTAAATCGTTAAGCTTAAGCTCCGCCTTGCTAAAGGGTGCCCTACAGCTATATTTAAAACCAAGACAAAGTTAAATAAAATATATCATTTATTGTCTTAGTATCCTATTTCAGAACGTAGCAAATTATGTCAACGTTGAAGGAAAGAAAAGACATCTTACGTTTTTGCGCATTAGCATTGTTTTCTTTCACTATTGACATCTCTTTTACTCGCACGACTCAGTATGTTTTTATTTCATTCAGCATTACGATTTTTATGTGCAATTTCGTGTTGGTTTTTTTTGTCAGTTGTCAAATGAATGAAATGAAACTCCGTCTGTGAAATCAGAAATAGGATGGTTATTGTGTGAATCACGAAAATCCTAAACATTTAACCAAGATTATTCTAAAATAGCTCGACATGTGGTTAAAACGGAATAATATGTGAATAAAAATCTTATATCAACTTGATTCTCATCAGAAATCAAGTCGCCGACTGCAAAAATGTTGCGATACTATTTCATGCTGATATGTTTGTTTTTCCTTTATTCTGGAGTTGGAGCTTCAGTTGAGGCGAAAGGAGATAAGGTGGTGGTGGATTGTAGCACGTTACGACTGGGCCAGTACATTTGCCCTGATCCAAACAAAGATCAAATCGATCCGAACACCCAGCAGTTTGTAGGATGCGTCAAAGGGAAAGAAGTTCCGTCAGAAGGGGAGGCAGAAGGTATCTATTGAACCATGTTGGTTTTCTAACAACCGTTGTTTCTAGTTCCTATTTCCTTCAGTGTTTTGTAGGCAGCACAAAGTTTTGTAACATGAGTTGTGTTGTAAATACTCAAAAGTCAAAAAAGTCAAAAGTCAAAATCATTTATTTCAATTAGGCCAGAATGGCACTTTTGAACGTCAACAAAAACAAAAATTTAAAGTGAAGCTATTTGCTCATTCCAAGGCGTAGATTCCTATGGAGAAGAACGAGCAAGAAACTCCATAGGTTACTCTTTTTCAATCAGGTTCACAATACAATTTACTAGTTACATAGTTTTGCTGTTTATATAGTTAATTTTAAATCTGTTGTCCTTGCTTTGAACTTCTTAATTATCAATATTAGCACTTAAATACCCATTCTATGTCTAAAAATTATAAATGGTAATGAGTAAGCAATAAATAATAATATATCTTGAACTATTGTTTAATTTTCAGTATACTGTATCGCATCTGAAGGAATTATCTGCAATGAAACAAACAGCTCTTCATTCAAAAGGAAGATGCCATGTAAATGGACGTAAGTAGATAGTTACAATATTATTAAGACAGCATGTACTGTCATTACAATAACTAATACAAAATTTTATAGCGGTACAAAACTTCCATACAAACCTGCCATTCTCCTTTGATAGAAGAGTTGAGTTCCTTCCTTGTTTCTCTGTTTGAATATAGATTTCGGAACACACATTCAGCTTCTCTTATACTTCAATTGACTGACAATCTTATTTTGATGTGTGATGTGCTTGTATGTTAATTCATTTAAATAAATACATAGGATTTGAGTAAAACTTTTCAATATGATCTCATTTTCAATTGATTACTACCACAATGTAATTGTCTACTACAACACTAATCATGTTGTAAATTAGCAGATTAAAAAATACCTTTTAAACCTAAAATGCTATTTTCATTTTCAGGAATGGCTACTCTCTTGAGATAGCACTGCTTCTCTCAGTATTCTTGGGTATGTTCGGATTGGACCGCTTTTATTTAGGCTATCCTGGGATCGGATTAGCTAAACTGTGTACTTTGGGATTCATGTTCCTGGGACAACTCTTGGACATAATTCTCATTGCTGCTCAGGTAATTACAATAACTGTTATAGTTTTCACTGTGGAAGCCCTAGAAAATAGATACCTAAATACAATTTTCTGAGACCTGATACATAATACGACTGCCTCGTTGGCCAAGTGGTCACAATGCGACTGCGGGGCAAGGGGTCTCGGGTGTGATTCCCAGGTTGGGCAAAGTATTACTGGTTTTAACAAAATTCTCATTAGTAGCATGGAGGCTGGAATTGTGCCTGGTATATGGCAATAGGCTCACCCCTATTACGTGGGACTCATTACATAAATAGTGAAAAGTGGGTGTTACATTGTACAGTGAAATTAAGTGCCGTAATGTGCACCTCTGCCTACCCCTTCAGGGTTAAACAGGTGTGATGTTATGTTATGTTGGTATATTGTGTTTTAGCAAAATGTTACCAATAATACATACATTTATGTGTAGGTAATAATATACCTAATCTTACTACTATTATTATGTGAAAGTTTGTGAATTTGTGTGTAACTAAATCACATCAAAATGTCTGAAGGGATTGGGGTGTACACTAAGGTCTGGAAAAACACATACCCTACTTTTTATCTGATGCAGAAAATAGTTTATTTATAAATAATTAAATACCACATTTGAGCAATGTTAGCTCATGTAAGCTTTTCTTTTTAATATCTGCATTCCATTTTCAAGGTGGTTGGTCCTTCCGATGGTTCAGCCTATGTTATACCATACTATGGAGCTGGTGTCACAGTAGTCCGAAGCACCAACGAAACCTACCTGCTTCCCCAGGCAGACTGGCACAACATCACTTGACAGTGGGGTACAATATCATTTGAAGATGACGAGGACTATGAATGGACTTAAGATCTCTTTGATGTGAACCAAAAAGTGGACTGACTGTACTAGAAATAAGGTTGTAAATACTTTGTACTTTGTTAAGCTGATGTGATTTTTTGTTTTATGTATATGAGTGTTAATCATGGTATTAAGCAAGTGTGGTTCTTTTTATGATTGGTGTACAGTACATTTTTGGATAACGGCTGTAAATATCTCTAGTGTGCCTTCTAGACATTAGGAATTGCAGTCCAACTGCACATAAACAGCCAATTAGATGACAGATGTATTTAAGCAAACTTTCTATTTATTTATTTTAACAGAAACTTTAAACTTATCTGTAAATATTGGATTAAATCAAACTTTGGTATCCTATAATTATCATGTCAACTGTCTATACTGGTGTATGAAATATTTAATTTTGTATAGTTTTCAATTTTATTGTATAATACAGAGAATTACGATAACAATGTTTTATTTAATTGGTGGTTAGGGAGTTAACACAATAAAAGTGAATATTTATAAACAAAAACAATTTACTATGTAACAACTACATAAATATAATTATTATATATGAAATCGCAATTGCAAAATGGCGATTTCATAAGTATTACATCCCTATTTAAATAATTTTTCACTTATTAAATTCTAGATTTTTCTTTTTCTTTGCTATCCTTTATAGCTGGCTGAGTTTCTTGTATCGCTATCTCACTTGGAGGTGCTGTTAGTGTGAATATAACTGGTATATTAGAAAGTTGAGGATTGCCATGCTTTTCTAGTAACCTGATCCATGATAGTAAGGAATCTCTTGATGAGGTGCCTGAAGACAGAAATAATGTTTTAATCATGCAGTCAAATCTAATTTTTTGACATATTAACTGCAAAATATTCACTGTTGAACATAGACCTACTCCAGATCTATTCAACTGGCCAATATGACAACATAGACAATTATTTTTCTTACATTCTTATTTTAAATTTGACTTTTTTTTTAATCTTACCTGTAGCACACACTGATACTATTGTACCATCATCCTGTTCATGAACTGTTTGCCTCACTGCAGGTAGTGTTGTAGTGCCAATAAGCCCAGGAATTCCAGGAGGCTTCTCAATATTTGAAACATCTGAAGAAAGATAATATAATTATTATTTATTGATTCTATAATATTGTTCAGATGTGGACTTTACGTGAATAAAATTAGACCTATAATTGTCAGTAAGATATCTTAATGTGATTGATATAAGAGCTGTATTTAAAATTTAGATAATTATATAAAAAGAATATTACCATCAGGATCTGTGTTATCTTTAATTTCTGGTCTTGTTTTTCCAATTAGTAAGAAGTAGTTGACCACTTGTTCTCTCAAGTAAATGTTAAATGGTCCCTTCACAACCAATGGGTCATCAGTTGGCTGGTCTGCAAGGAGTATCTTCTGCGCTTCACTTTGAGCACTCACCACCCAGGTCTTGTCTAATGAAGCTTCTATTTCTTCTGTCTGACAAAAAATTGTTTTGTTACTAAGTTTGGTGACTTACATAAACATGAGAATACTCCTAAGTTGCAGGTGATATTTATTATGGGTATTTTCAACTTTTACAATTAATTCAAGATTGAACAATATGTATACTATAGAAATGTTTATATTACACGGAACTCCAGACTTATAATTATGAGATATGCATGTAGTATTTTATCAAGAACTTGATGGGCAAATATTAAAACTATTAATAATTCAAGAAACAAAATTATCACCTGCCAGATTTCAACTTTGGTATCTGGGTCCACTGATGTTATCCTCTGAATAGCAAGTTTAGCTAATTCAGTTGTATCATTAGGCAGTTGTTCAGGTAAATACCAAGGACTTAAGTTTCTGAACTTTGGCATCCAGTACATCATGCGCCAGAACTTGCGCAGAGGTATACCTCGGGCACCAAATATGTTCAGCAGCATCTGTTCCATTTCCGTATCAGGCATAACTTCTGTACTTTCAGAGAAAATAATATTAGTGTTTGCTTAACAAGCAGAAAAATAAAAAAGCAACATAATTGCAAGTAAAAAAAGGTTAGTACTCAATTGTAAGTAAAGCAAAATAAACGATAAGTACTATTGTCCTCCATTTGTTCCAACAAGTCCACGGCACACTGCTGCTGTTTCGGATAATGCATAAACTCTGCTTGGAATATATTTTTCGGAATAAACTTTCCTTTAGGTAGCACTTCGACTAACGCCTTATATACTTCGAGATCTTTTTGGACACCAAACTCCTTCATTCTTGCTAAAGCAGCGTATATAAACTCGACATGACCTCGTCTTCTGTTGTCCCGGCCTTCGAACATTTTTACTACTTCCAAGTATGTCTCCTTGTTCTTCTGTGGCTGTGAGTAAAATGGATCGTGGATAGTAACGCGTTTCTCCGGTTCCGAGCTCTCCCATCGCTTGAACATCATCATAGACGGTCTACTTCTCAAAAAATGTCCTAAGATTTTGTTAGCCATTTTAGGTTATGTTTATAACTGAAGAGACGAGTGTTTATCAGTGATATAAAAATATTTTCGAAGTAGATCACGTTGTGCCGGTTAATACTTTAGTTCAGCATCGAGTGTTCTGATAAAACTAGTACAATACCATATTTTTTTAATTAATAGCAAAAAATAGCTCTGTAAAGAATACACTCCGATCTCGAATTCTCAAATGTCATATTGACAACTGACAATCAGAAGTTTAGAAATGACAGTTGACAGAGCACCACCAAAGATATTTTTTGAATTTATATTTATTTATTTAGTATCCCATTTATTTTATTTGTGATTTATTTTTTTAATAAAACACATATTTTTACAATACGTGTTTGCACTACAGGTTTGTATTTATTTTGCGCGCTTTAGATATTACGTTCATTAGTTCACATCATTCGTCATTCGTTGTTCATTCAAGTAGTTTCTAAATTTTTCCCGCGGTATGTATGACTTGTTCGTTCTTCAACCAAACCAGTTGAAATAGATGCGCAGGTGGAGTGAGACGTGTCGTTTCCAAAAACTTTGAAAATCACGTATTTAAATACGAAAGTATACCGTAATTTTTGTTGGAGGTATACGAGTTGAAGTGTATTATTTTTACATATTCAAGGCTCATCAGTTTCTGTAGTTCACATTGAAAGTGAGAAAACCGGGTATAAAAGTTATTTACGTATGACTGAAATTTAAATAAAAAATCTTGTTTTGACGAAAGTGTTGATGACCGTCAAGATGTCTAGGGACATTCAACTGGGCTGTTTATTGTTGGTTATCATGCTGAGTGCCACCGGTAAGATTTATTTTTTAATTATTACGATGAACATTTACAAATCTCTTGAAACAGTGCTTAAGTCGTACACACATGAGTAACATGTTGATAATACACGCTAAGTACGTACTTACATTGTGTAAACTAGTGTGAAACACGTGAATAAGTAAGTAACAAGGTTTGCAAGCAACTTTCATTAATAAATAACGAGTTGATAAAGGCTCTGTTTTGCTGTTTCAAGGTTAATAGTGAATTGTAAGATGCTTGGCTTAGTTCATGTGTTATAAACGTCGTGTGTGCCTAGGTCCTGTTTCGAAAAAGTGAGAGACGTAACATACATTTATATCTACCACTATGTATGGAATCAGCTGTTGGTTAGCATTGAGTGCCTTGTTAAAATGAAGGCTGAAAGGCGCAATAATACAGGTTTTACTTCTCAGTTATACAAGTATCATACTTTTATTATAAAAAAATTACATAAATTTTTAACTAATGGAAATCGATTGGAAAATTACGGGCTCACGTATAGTTTAACAGTTAAACTCAACAGATAATAATTATAGGTAAACATAAACATTACGTTGAATGAATGGCAATGAACGATGGTAAAGAAAATAGGTAATGACATTTACTTTGTGAATGATTCATTGAAGTGATTGTAACTGAGTTATTAAACATACCTATTGCAGGTAGATAGGTAGGTACCGTATATTTAATACCTATGTATGTTTGCATTTATTGTATAAATATCGATTTTTACAACAGGTGTAAATTGAGTACAATGTGACGTAATGTAGTGATGTCGTATGCTAAATAATTTAACTCGTTATCATTAATTATGCCTCAATATTTTTTTTGAGTTAAACCTATGGTTTTTGTCATCATCATCACTATGCCATTTTCTGTGCACAGCGCGAAGACATCTTGATTTTCAGATTGAAAATTTAATTTTCTTACGGCTTTTCGAAATCTAGGACCTACTGAAACCCATTTACCAATCGACAGCTTTTAAGGTATATAAATAAACAGTCCACAAAGTTAGTCAGTCACTGTAATAAAACACAAAGATATCAAAACACAAAAAATAATCATTTACAATAAAAAATACACAAAGTAAGAGAACAATGATAACATTAACTGGAAAAGTTAATTCTAAGAAGTATCGAAAGATAAATAGGTACTCTCACTGCATAGAGCACAAACAAAGCTGTAGTAGCTACTACCTATTTCCCATACCATTCTCCCCGAGTTATGTAATTAAAGCATATGTTATCGCTGAATTACACTTAATTCCAACACTTACAATAACGATCCAGCCACGTGTATTCAGAATTCATTCCCCTCAATGTGTTGAGCAAAATTTAATATAACTTTATGTGACTACGTTCAAACAGAGGGCGTTTCTGGATTTGTTCCAAGAAACTGTATTCTGTGCAATAACATAAAAAATAAAGGTGGATGCCGTATGTTTTTAGGTAGATGTATTTTTAAAATACTCCAAAAACCCTTGACGTAGGTTCGGGTTATAAAAGTACTTGAAGAAAAGTGATTCAAAACTTTTCTTGTTCAATATAATTACATAATTTTTGGAACAAACTTGGGATGTTTCAGAGTTCTTCCACGGGAGAATATGAGATCAAACAAAACAGTTTATTTATATTTATACACAGACTGTTAGGGTGGCCAATTGTTTAAGTGAATTCGGTATGGTTCTACGGTTCAAGATTAAACATTTCAATGACTTATAACATTAATAGAAAAAATATTTTCTATCATGTATTAAACCATTAAAGTCAAAAGCACATGGAAAAATTCACGATGAAAAAGACTTATGACGTAGGCAACAAAAAATTACCATAGCGGCGATAAAATTAACCGCAACAAATGCCAATACTGCTCTGCTTGCATAGTTTCTAAGGCTAAATATCTATTATGGCGCACGCATCGGTAATTCGGTACTTCTTGCTAAGTACGGTACATTAGCGCCAATCCGCAAGTTTATTGGAACCGCATAGACGATGCGCGGTATTTTTTGCGTGTTGTTTATAACTCGAGGCGTGGCGTGGCGTGGCACACCGTGCAGTGTCTTCGGGCTCGTGTCCAACCGCCTACGTTTTGTGACGTGATTACCGTTCTCATTGATACGCTTGACTGGACCATATTTAATATTCTGTGTCTACAGTAAATATACTGTTCATACTTAAACAGTCAAACGCTAAATCAAAAGGGTACTGAAAAATGAACAAACGATACACATGTAACGTCATTGTTTAAAATTATTGCCACATTAATAACCCAGTTTTATTTATTCTGTGGACGGTCATATTTAACTGTTTGTTCGCTATCGACTATCGGCAAATTTATTCATGAGAATAGTCTCATAAATTGATTTGATTTGAATGGATGTGTTCGCTGTACAACACAATGTATCAATTACATCTCGTTTAGCTTACTCTTTTGCGCAATCATAGTAGTTAGTTGAGCCACATTAAGAACAATAATTTATACACATCTTTAGTTATTTTTTCTATTTAGAATATTTATTATTTAAAGGACGAGAATCTTCTTAGCAAATAACGCATCTTGTAAATAATAAAACCAAGACTTGATTGCTCCATTAATTCGATTTTTAAATAAGAGCACCATAAAGTTTTTCCTGCCAGCACTTCGCTAGTGACGTGCAATTATGCCCTATTCGATTCAATAGCCCCGTGATGAATATCGATGATGACCCATTTGAAAAGCGCTGCATTATTCGCTCGTGTAAATACACGCATAATTGTATACTGAAATGAACGTCGACTAAGTAATTCAAGTGGTTCACTTTAATAGTGTACACAAACTGCATTATGTTTTTCCTGTTTACCCCAGCATACTTATAACCCTTTTTGGCAATGGATTTGGGAAGCTACGTAGGTACTCTATTGACCAAGTTTCTTTATGTAACAGTTGTTTACTTCTTAAGAGATTGTCTCAAGGCTTTCAGAAATATAAAATACGTAGTACTATTATTTCAATAGCATTTATACAAACAGACATACGTCTGGCCACAGTAATTTCAAGGATGCTAAATATAATTTCCAGATTACGTTTCAGTGACATTCATCTTGTGCTCTGCGCCTAATACCCTCTTTATTCATCTCTAATCTCTATAGTAATAAAGAAATGGATTATATTAACGTCGTAATCTGAGCAAGTAACAAAATTTTCATACTTATTTCGTATTTTTATGTCCAGAATAAAAAATCATTCGTACAATTGGAGAGCGGTGTAGCACGTTGTATGTTGAATTGTTAAAATAGGTTAGGTATACACGTTAGGTATCAATACGCGATTCTGGATCGAGCAAAAGGAAAATTACACACAGCCCGCGACATGAATTCGGTCAATTTGGCGCCCCCAACGCCTTTACGTAATCAAACAAAATTTTCAAACGGTATAGATTGAATATTCGATTTCAACCGTGGACACGTAAAGGTGGTAGCAATTTTCAATGGCAGCTGAATTGTTAACAGATTGGAGTGATCACAATGGACGTTGCTTTTTAATCTTTTTGCTGAGTCTTTCTTCAAATATTCAAATTTAGAGAAAGCACTTGAATAAGCGATCGGATCACAGAATTGGTGGAAAGTAAATCGTCGATCGGTGTAATATCGTAGCTTAATTTATTCTACAAAATATGCTTAACGTTGCTGATTATAATATTATGAACGTAGCCGAAACACTTAAGCAAACAATATTAATAAAAGCATTGTGTGCCATCGTAAATTACGACACCCGAACTCTTTGGAAGTTCACATTTTAATAACTAACTGGGATGATATTTTTAACATCTTTTTTTTAATTATAGTAGGTACCAGCATGTTTTTTGTATCTTTAAGGCTTCCTTTCGTCTAGTGTCCATTTACTGCAGTAGGCCTCATTAGCACACCAGTTTTCCCCTGAAGCATCATTCCACAGATTCGTAATTAAATTAAATTCATTCATTCATTTTGCACGATGATCTGTTAGCACCCTGTTATTGCATGATTTGCATGCATAACTTGTAATACATAAATTAAATGTCATAATCAGGGTTAAATAAATATTAAGTAAATATGGGAAGATACCCTATGACCCCTCGTTTATTATTAATCATTATATTGGTTTTAAAATGTACTTTACCTTTAACATGGGTTACAATAATATTTATCTTATACATATCTATTATAATAAAATCGTAGAAAAGTCAAAACTGTACATTGAATGTTTTTAAAAAAGAGTACTTGAGGCGTGATCTACAATCGACACCGAAGACAAAAATATGGTTCTTAGAATTTTGCCTGTTTGTATGTATGTCCGGGATGATCTCAAAGAGTACCTACTGCATGGATTTATTTCGAATTTTCGAATTGTCACGCTATCATCTACGGGAAAGGGCCCTATACTAGGTACTGAATCAATTCTGACGACATTCGTTACCGTAGAATATGTCTTGATAAAGACTAATTCAAAAGCCTAAATTTGCAGGAGTCATTATTTTACGCAGACGAAGTCGCGGCAACAGCTAGTCTTCTTTGAAATTGTGGTGTAGATTTCGAGTTAACTACTATCAATGAATAACCTCTGTGTTGTACGGATAAAATTAACATGTTTTCCAAATTTCTTTTGTAAAATACTTCTCCGAATCGTCCGACCATTTACGGATTCACCTTTGTAGTATTTTCCATGAAAAAAACGTACCTTTAAGGTATCATATTTTGGTGACAACACTGAAAGAGTAACGCTAGAAGATTTCTAACTTCTAATAGATATTATGATTATTGAATTTTCTACACTCCATTAAAGTCTCACAGGTCATTGACACAACAAGACATGTATTAAACATAATATAATATCACGCCTTTTAATCCCCGAAGAGGTAGGCAGAGGTGCACAATATACGGCACGGCACTTAATGCTACCGTACAATGTAACACCCACTTTTCGCTATTTATATTATGAGTCCCATGTAATAGGTGGAGAACCTATTGCCATATACC